TTATGAGGCTCGTTGAAAAAGAAAAAGAAAGATAAAGAGCCTCAGATTTGCGATGAGAGTAAGAGGAATTGAGGGCAGGAAAACACTGGTGCTGAACTTCTTTTGCAGCAGTGTTGAAACGTCTGGTGAGAAAGGCAGAGCAAAGAGATGAATAATAGCAGAAATGAGGAGAAAACTACTGTGCCCTGGAGCTTAAGAACTACTAATGAAGAAAAAGCATTGAGATAGACTGCATTAGAAGCTATCCTGTGCTAATGTTTGCAGAGTATACAGCAATTTTGCTTTACTGGTTCATATTAATATTAGAAAGAGTAATAAAGAAGGTGAAAACAGCTTTACAGGGGAAAAAAAAAACAAACAACAGGTTTCCTATTTGAAGTCTCTTCTTCCTGTTAGGGACTTAAGACATCCTTGTTTGAAGCTGTCTTTGCTGTTTGATCCCTAAGTGGAGTTATAACTGTTTGTTATCAAGTTGCCATGAAAATTAATGCAAAGACAAACTTAGAAATGCAACTCTCTGTTGATTCCAGCTGGAGGGCAAGACGAGCTGGAAATCCTCATATGGTTATGACCAAATATAGCCAAAAAACCCTAAACATCATCAGATGAGTCTAAATTTACACCATGTAAAGAATCCACTTATACAAGAAGCACATTCTGCATTTCTCTTCAGGGCAAATACAGATTACTTATTTATCAGTGCTGGCCTAGTAAGAACCTAAAGGCAGCCAGCCGTAGTCACATGTTGGAGTGTGGTTGTCCAACAGCTGATCTAAATGGAAAAAGTTTCCTTGGAACAGGCGCAAGAGAAAAGATGCAGAATGTCTAAATACACGGACAGGTTTTTCACATCTCCTTGAAAGCTGTAGCATCACCATTACAGCACGGGCTCCCTTTTAGAATAACCAGCAATACTGTTGCCTAGCACCCTGTTACAGCTTCCTGAAAAAATGTTTCAGCTATATTAACCAGCAAGCAGGCTACAGTGACAGCACTGAATTCCAGGCACTGTCACATCATAAGACACTACAGCAAGTTCTCAGCATCTTTAATTTAAAATGACAGGGAGAAAAAAACAAAGTTTATTTTTAATTTATTTCAATGTTAAAGTTGTGGTAAATTTACTTCTATTGCTGCAAAGCAACTTTTGCAAAGTGTCAGCCCAATTCAACCTTGACTACACAGGAGAAAGGTCAAGCACTGTCCAAAGCAACACTTCTCATAAACCAAAGATTCTACTGACTGCCTATGTTTTCCCACTACTTTTAAAATTCGAGCTGGGAAGATCCGTTTTGCAGACGAGCACAAAGCAGAGCAAGCAATCGGAACACAGCACCCGCCGAAACCGAAGTTTGACATTTGAAACCGGCCTCAATGTCACTTTGCCTTTCACTTGACAAGGACAAAGCGTGCACTAAAATAAGGAAGCGTCCAATCCGGCGATCTTTTACACGGAAACGTGTCTCGGCCACCAGGTGCTCCGCCAGGTTTTAGAGGCACAAAGGGAGGAAAACACCCAGAAAGGTGCTTCCCTGCTCCCAGACCCACCAGGCCTTAGGGGCAGCTCGGTGCGAAGCACAGGGCCCGGCCGCCGGCCTCGGCACCACCCCATCCCAGCGGCGCCCAGAGAGACGGCAGCCCCGCCGCAGGCTCGTAAGGGCGCAGAGCCGGGGGTCCGGCCCTTCGTCACCGAGGTCACCCGCACCGCCGTCACTCACCGAGCACATCCGCCGTGCGGTGCCGGGCCACGAAGCAGGCGTCATCCCCGTAGCACATGCCTTTCTTGAGGATCCCCTTGCGGAAATCTTTACCGAAGCCGCAGCTGGCCGTCACCAAGCTGTAGTCGCGGCTGTCGGTCTGCGAGAGGCCGCCCAGCACTGCCCGGGCCACCAGCCTGCCATAGGACAGCACCGAGAACATAGCGTGGGGCGCCCAGCAGCCCAAGGCCAGGAACGCGGGGAGCCACCGGCGCAGCCGCCTCCTGCAGCGAGCCAGCCTTCCTGCGGCCCGCCGGCCGGCCGCCCCGCCGCCTCCGGGCCTCAGCGCCTCGACAGCCGCGGACCTCCGGCCGAGCCCAGCAGCGCCCGGCCAAGCCCCGGCTAAGCCCGGCAGCGCGGAGCCCGCCTCGCAGCCCCTCCAGCGGCTCGCTGCCTGCACACCTCGGCCCGCAGCCCCTCCTCGGCCCGGCCCCTCGCCCTCCCCCCGCCCACCTCGCTCCTCCGGGCCGGCTCCCGCCCTCACACCCCGCGCGCCGGCTCCTCGCGGCCGGCACCGCCGCCACCCCCGCGCAGGGGGGAGGGGAGGGGCTCCGCCTACTCCCGAGCCGCCCCGCGGAGGCCCTCCGCGCTCTCTACGTAGAGCCGAGGAAGACCCCGGTCAGAGCCGCCGCTCCTCGCCGCGCCGCCCCCGCTCCCCGCCGGCCGCAGCCGCCATCTTCCCCCCGCGCGTGCGGAGCTGAGGGCCTGGCGCTCGGCAGCCAGCGAGCGGTGAGGAGAGGTCAGCCCCGCCCCGGGGCAGCGCGCGTGCGCGGCGGGTGGGCCGACGCCTCCCATTGGCTGCCCGCCGCGCCTCATTTGCATGCTACGGGACAATAACAGCGCGCCGCTCCCGGCATCCCCTGCGGCGCTGGGGCGGCACCGGTTCGTTTCCGAGCCGCGCTCTGGCCGTAGCGCTGCGGTGGTCGCGGCCACGAGGCGGGCGCTCGGCTCCGGCCCCTCGCCGCCTCCTCCGGCTCTACCTGTCATTATTCCAATTATGTTTTCAACACCGGGGCTGCGCCTAACCCAGCTATGTGCCCTCCACGCCCATATCGGGCCGCGTGTCTGGCGTGCTCGAAATAACTCCGAGGGACTCGGTGGCCATTTGCGCTTTTCTGGTGATTAAGGACGGTTATGTGAGTCATGCGGCATTACGAATTATTTTTAAAGGACGACTCCTCATGTTTCCCTGGCAGCGTGCGGTTTTGTGTAATGCGAACTCACTGCGTCTGACGGTCTGTGATTTCTGGGAAAATAGGTGAAAGTAGAGACAGGATTCACCCATTATGTAGGGCAAACAGATGCCAGAGCGCTAAAGATAAGGCTGCAGAGTGCGATCATCACAGAACAGACGCTGTTATCGTTGCACATGGGACAAAGGCATGGCTGTGCGGGTGGCACGGCTTCAGGACATGGAGACCCCGAAGGATTGATCCTTCCCTGGGTGTGCAGAAAGGTTTGGTGCTGCTCGGAGCTCCTGGCAGGCAGCCCTGAACGTGCACAAACCCACTGAGTGCCTGCGTTAACGAGGCTGCTGCGCTGCGTGCCCAGAGATATGTAAACAGCAAAACAAAAGGCAGGCATAAAGCAGAGGGAGGTGTGAAAGCTGAATCCTAAGCTGGTGAAAGGAAAAGCTGTGCGGTGTACAGCGGGGACCCAGACTGCCGGGAGCATTGCTGAAGCACTGTCATTAACGGCATTAAGGCACAGCGTGCATTTGGCTGCTGTGCACCTTGACAGAGACAATATTCGTCCCCTTTGAAGTGCTAAAGGTTTAAGCAATGTGTGAAACGCTTCAGCCTGAAGCTGAAATGGTATCCAAACTTCATTAAAAATAATCTGCCTGTTTGTAATTCTGTATGAGGAGAAAGAAAGTGCAGAGACCACAAAGACCAACTTAAACCCAGCCTTGCTGAAACAGGAAACTGCTGTTCAGCCCATTTTGCCAACATGCTGCCAATAAGGGAGTGCTGCTGCCATGGCCATCGGGGTTGCTGCCTCACCTCCTCTTGTACCTAGAGCAGAAAAGGGAAGTGCATATTTTCCGAGCTTCCCCAACAGTCATTCTTTCCCTTAACTCATTCGTTCTTCCTTCTTGTCCAGGTTCCTTCTAGGCTAAGGCCAACCCAACCTGATTCCTTCTTTAAGGCACCAGATTTCAGTCCTGTCTATAGTGCTGGTGTGCCCTGAGACAGCTCTCACCATCACAAGGTGTTCTGTCCTACTCCAGCTGGATGCACACCGCTTCTCCATCTGTAATCCCCCACCTCACTTCCAAGTGAGCACGAGTTCTCCGTGCCCCATCACAATGCATTTCCTGAAGCAGGATGGGACACGCTCTGTAGCACTTTATCAATCGGCCATGCCTCACAGATTGAGAAACTCAGCATGAGAGGAGGGCTGTCAAAAACACTCGGCAGAGCATGACTCCGTGTTCCTGCGAGGGCATGCTGTGAGCAGTTCATAATCCCTCCATCTCTGGTCATCCACTCAGGCTGGCCCAGACGGCCAAGGAAGACAACATCGTTTACGTAATAATAATTAACCTTTGCTGAACTCTTTCACTCTGATGTGATGACAGTTCCCCCAGATGAAAACTGCTATTGGCATTCATTCAGAAGATCACTTGGCTCTTGGGAGAAAAAAATAACACCAAACCCCCATTTTAAATGAAATACAAGAAGATTGGTTTTTCCTACTATTCACTATCAGTGCTGATGGATCTCTGTACGTACACTGCTGTCTCACTCAGTACTATTATCGTACCCCCAGGGCCAAGATCCTGCCAAGTGGTATTTGTTTAAAATTCTCAAATGCACAAATTTGGCACAAAAACTGGAGCAAAGGGCATTCCCCTGGTTACAGCAGCTGGGTGGAATCTTCCCACCTCAAAGTCCAAGATCCATTTACATCAGTTCATTTAAGCTGCAAAACGAAATGAACTCTTCCTGCTAGGCTTGCTCAGACAGACTAATAAGTGAGATGTGGAGCACAATGCAGAAATGCTGTACAATGTAATCGACTGTTGAAGGCACAAGCAACTTTTCAGCTTGTATTAAGACTGATTCACTTGTAGCTGACGTCAGTACTCCCTCCCTGCTATCTTCGCCTTGGAACTGGAGTATGATAAATATTACCTGTAATGCCATCTGCTGTACAGAGGCAGCACAGGGCTCCAAGGCTTCTCACGATTTGTTTGAGTTAACGTTGTGCTAGAGCAGAATGCACTTCACTTCAGGCTTATTTAACTTTGTTTCGACTTTAATTAAAAATGCCTGTCCACTTGTATTTTTAAAGTCATCTGTCACAGAGCAAAAACCATGTTTGCCTTGCAAAGAAGTTAGGACAGCATAGTTAATATCAAACAGGAAACTGCTGCGAAAATGACAGTGTTACCAGAAGTGCCCACATGGAAGATGCAGGGTCAGGAGATCGCTCTCAGGGCGAGCAACTAGAACTCCAAATAGGACCTCTGTGATACCCTGGGAGGGCTGACATTTCATGCATCAATTTCTCCATTGGTTCTTTTAGAACTTCACCGAAGTTATTCAGCTTCTCTGTAAAATACAAACTACTGCAGATTAATGATGACTGTTACTTCTGTCAGTGTTTTGAATGGATCAAACTGGAAATATCTGTTTGGAATATGCATATTTAAGTGAATACATATTTAAACTAACAATACAAAATCGTTTCCTCACAGGATTTTCTTCTAATTTTGAAGCACCAGGAATGATACCACTTCCTATAGGAGCTCTTTCACAACAGTAGGTCTGATGAGTACTTTTTGTTACAGAAAACTTCCTCACACTGAAATCTGTTCCAAGTCTGTTAAAAGCTTTGTGTATGGCATGTTCAAAGAGAGCAGCACAGGCTCAGCCAACAAACACCTTGAGCACCTCATCCACTGTAATTTATGAAGACCGTGTTTATTAAACTAATCCTACTCTGAGTTAATTTAAACGTCCAAAAATAAAATTACACTGTTTAATCAAAAGGATGTGTGCCCATAAGCAGAATGTCTGACACTTTCCCACTGATGAGAAACATATTGACTTTTCCAGTTTGTTCACCTAGATTTGAATATTTTGAAGTACATTCAGGATGGGTATTGATTGGTACATGACTCTAAAAACTCTACTGTTTTTTGTTCTGAGAACAACAATAGTTTTGTATGTATAGCAGTAATTAAGCTAAAACAATTTTAGAAGGAAAGGGCTATGATTTAAGTTGTTATATGAGTGAAAATGAATTTTACTGAATTAGTAAAATATGCTTAAATGATAGAAACTGAAATTTAGGTAATGCATTTTTTGCTTTGTTTTAGCATCTCATAAAAGACACGTGTGTTAATTCTGTTTGTGTTTATAATCAGTCACTCAATGGACTTAATCCTGCAATATTTGGATTCCAAATGGCACACTATAATGTTCAAACACATCAAAACCTTGTTGCTTAAAGTAAAATAGTAATACAGTAAGTCCCTTAACATGTTTTTTAATAGAGAGCAATCTACTGCATTTTAAACTGCTTGAATTTTCATTTCATAGGAATTCCCACATGGGTATCATAGTGCCCTTTTACATTATTAATTAATTCATGTTGATGGATAAATTAAAATATCTCTGATGGAGGACATGCATTATTTATTAACGTCCTGATCTTGTTCTACACACTGTAGGGTGCTGCTTTTTGGAACCTGCTTCAGAAGTCTAACACAATGATGGGTTTTTGGTTGTTTTTTCTTTTGGTGGCGTAGGATTTTTCAAATGATCTCTCTTATACTTGGCTTTTGCTTTGACTTTTTCTAAGTCAGAGATTTTTTTCTCCTAGTTTCTTTCAGCAATGACTTTACTTACTGCATTCTGTTTGTGCGTGTATTTCTGGAAGGAATTCACAGTTTTAGTGAACTATCACATCCTAGTGTTGAGGAATTCAGGATTAATCACTTAAGCATTAATAAAATGGAAAGTCAAGTAACACAACCCCCATGTTCATCCTATATCCCGTTCTTTTACAGCAAGTCCTGGGGATGTGGTTAGGTGAACTATTGGTATGAGAAAAGTCCTACGTTATTTCTGAAGAAAAACATCATGAGAAAAATAGATTAATCACTCTGTATGTTCCTACTGAACAGCCTCCCAGTTTCAGTGGTAGATGTGGTAAGAAATAATACCTCTTTACTCATCCAGCTCCTTCCCACATGTATTCAGGGTCTGCTCTGTGCTTGAGATGAGCCCAGAGATTTCAGCAAGGCTTGGATTTCCATTCATGACTCTGGTCCACTGTGTATAATCAGCTTCATAAAGTTATTCTGTATGCAAAAGTAATGTATTAAATTCTATTTTCCCTTGTGCATTATCAGCAGCTCTTTTTACTCATTTTAAATCCATAAGAAAAATGTAAACAAGTGCAGGGTGATTCATTATTAATTATCTGATGATAACATTGTTAAACAAGTGATGATAAACAATAAAACACCAATTTCCCTCTAAAACAACAAATTAAATTCCAAGTTTCAAAAGGTAGGAGAAACACCTTTATGCTTGTTACCTGACCACTTGTGGTAGGTGGGAGCAGACCACTCGAGGAATTTCAAAGGGTTATAAGCCCCTAAATCAGACTCACCCAAAGAGATGCCTGCTCTTTAATACCTAACAGCAAAGGAGAGAGAGCAGGCATGTGGTCAGACTCTCCCTGCAGGCAGGACAAGCACCACGGTAGTTAGAATTAAAGCTTCAAAATCTATTCTACTTTCTCTCAAGCAAGAGGGTGTGGAAATTTCACTCAACGAGGAAGGAAAAGAGCTTCACCTGCCTTTCAGCAGGCAGGAAAACAAGCCTCCTTTCCTTAGGGGCTACCTAAAGCCACCTGATTCTCAAAGCTACGGCTCTTTTAACTCCATTAGGTGCAAAAAGACCCTCAGCTGAATTCCACACCCTGTGCCTCCTGCTTTGTGAGGCAGGGCTCGAGAGGCTGCAGTGTTCAGAGCAGCACAGCCAGCCCTGCCCTGCACCTCGCCATGAGGCTGCCAGGCCAAGTGAGAAAGGCTGCGGGGTGGAAGCAAAGCCCGGAGCTCGGCGTTTCTGAGGAAACACCAAGGAACTACAAGCGTTTGTGTAACTCAAGCTCAGATTTTCCAACTGTCAGATCGGTACAAAATCACCCTCCTACACCACGAGATTAATTACCACAGAACGCTCAGAGCTGGAACGGACACACCGGGACCATCCTCAATACTTGCAGAGTACTGACAAGGCGAAAGAGCCGAGAAAAAAAGAAACTGATAAACTTTAAAAGCTAACGAGGTGCGTATTATTAGAAATAAAGCTGCAAAGACACGCTAAACGCGGGATTTTATAGTCCAAGAGGGGCCGTTCCCACACAACGCCTCACAACACCCCGCGCCGCTTCCCGTGATGCCCCGCGGCCGCAGGGGGGCGCTGTTTCCCATCACACTCCGCGCTCCCTGGCAACCGCGCCGTTGCTAAGGGAGGCCTTGGCCGTTGCTAGGGGAGGCCTAGTCTGTCGTTGGGGGCGGCCTAGCAGCGGCCGTCATGGCGGCGGCGCTGAGGTTTGTCCTGCTTCTTTTCTTGTCGCCGTTTCGGGCAGCCGAGCCCAGCACCGAGCTCCCATCCAGCCCAGAGGCGCCATCGAAGACCCGTGCTACCGCTTGGGAGCGGGGTCGTAGCGGGCCGGCCCCGCTCACGGACGGTGGGTGCCGGGTGGGGCGGGGGGCTGCGCGGCGCCCGGCCCGAGGGGAGGCCCTCTCAGGGCCTTGTGAGAGCCTCTGCTCACTGCCGGGCCGTTGGGCCTCCTCTATCTAGGGTGAGACTGTGAGGCAGCTGCCCTGCTTCTTTCTCTTGGTGTTTATTGCCGCGGCACAACAGTTTGCCCCAGACTTCAAATCCAGTCCTGTTTCTGTGGATATACAGCGCTATCACGACACAGATCACAAATGTTTGTCATTGTGCTGTTGGAAAGTGTTTCCTGCTGTCTTCTAGTTGGCAGGTGGACTTTTATTTAACTTCTGATTTCCCAGTGTAGTTGTCACCAGCACGGTTTCTCCAAAACATGTTGTCCCAGTCCATGCCTCTTTAGGGATAAGAGCCCTAAATCCTCCATCTCAGAGAGAGGAATTCACAGTCTCGTCATCTGTGTTCAAACTGCTCTTGTGGACAAGGTGAGCTAAAGGTTCCACCAAAACTCAGATGACAGAACAGCAACACCTCAGAGCTTCCAGGAACGGTGTGGGTATTGTTCAGATGGTCAGAGAGCATCCAGGAGGCCCAGGAGAAGTGGGAAATAGTCAAATGGAAATAAAAGAGGGATAGTTTTGTAAGGGAAATAAAAGAGGGATAGTTTTGTAAGCAAACATTCTTTTGAAGTCTTGTCTGCAGTGTCTGGGCTATCCTCAAGTTTAGATTTATTATGGAACAGCAACTCTCAACAACAGCTCAATAAAATATTAAATATTCTTTGAATATGTAAACTGGAAAACCTAAGAGCGTTTTAAGAAGTTGCCACATTTATTTAATATAAACCATTTATAGTACTGCTAGAAATTGCTTTCCGTATTATTGCAATATTTTACGATATCTAAAGACAGAGAGAAAAAACAAAGAGATCAACTCTCGTTATGCTGGCACATCAGGGAACTGTATTTCTGCTTTCTGGGACATTCTCAATATTTGTAAATCGCTGCTCTTATAAAAATGTTGCGAGTTTTTTTTTCTTCCAAATATATTCAACAAACTGATAAACATAATTTCACTACCTTGTAACAAACAGATAAACATAGTATCACTGCCTTGTTTATATCTTTTCTTGTGCAGGACCCAGTTTCATACCTTCAAAATTCCTATAAACTCCAGTTGCTTTTTCAATTTCATAGGGAAAAAAAAAGTGTCAGATTTTGGTATGCTCTTGGTTTTGTTATTTGCTCCTACTAGATTTGCTAACTGACAGAAAAGAGCTTTTAAAAATGACTCGGAGAAAAAAAAAACAAAAACACAAAAAAACAGCATGAATTTGGATATAGACTTTTGAACCATTGTCAAAATAAGGTGAAGTGAAAATTGAAAGTGTTAGGGAACATGCTGTAGCGTGCAAAGTTCCAGTCCTAATTCTAATTTAAATCTTTTCTCCAGTTGCCAAGCTGTGTGTTTGTGATCTGCTGGTGGCACAGTGTGATATAAATTGCTGTTGTGACCCTGACTGCAGTGCAGCAGATTTCAGTCTCTTTACTACATGTTCAGTTCCTATTGTCACGTAAGTGAATAAACAGCTATCTGAAATATAAAATTCAGTTTTATTTGTCACATGTATTTGTATGAGCTCAATATTCTCCTCTTACAAATTCCTAACCAGTCTCTTCCCCTGCCATTCTAACCCCTTCCTACCCTTTCACCAATCCCTAGTCCTATAAACTTTTGGCTCCCAACCAGACAGAACAGCAAATTGGCCTCCCAGCCCAGTTTCTCATTCCCTGTTTTCTAAATTTGTGCTTCTTCCTTTTTCTTCCTGTTGTACTGCCCTACTATGCGTGGGTGCTGAACTGATGAAGCCTTGCATTGAAGGAAGAAGAATATATCTTCAGACCTTCATCGATATAATGCAGTGTCTGGAATTTAAGAAAGCTGATGCCACGCGACCATCTGGCCACCTCCATAATCCAGTAGCAGCTTCTCAGTAACCTCTAATTGAGGTTTACAGTATCAACTAGAAACATGATCAATTCAGGGCTTAATGAAATAGTGTGAGTGTTGCTCTGATCCTAGTTTTACAAGTCAATGGTCCCAGCCTGCTGCCTCGCTGCCAATCTGTCACTTTTCAAACAGTAAAATGTAACTTTATATGCATAAAGTAACATCACTAGTTATTTCCTTGCTATTTACAGTTTATCTGAAAACCTATTTTTTTTTTTTTTACCTAATTCCATCCTCTCAAAAAGGAGTTACGAAAGCTTACTTTATTATCTTAATGTAAAATCTCTTGGTGACTTCTCAGAACAATAAGTACAGAACTTCAACCCACCTTCTGCATAAATTATGCCAATCTGAATGCTGGGGTTTATTCTTGGTGCTTTGAAATTTGAATTAGCAGTCATCCCAGACTGCCATTTCTTATTGTTCTTGCACATAATGACTACTGCTACCCATTTATAGATATTTAGGTGTATCAGAAAGGTCTAATCAACGCCTTCCTGAATGACAGTTAAATTGCCTCAGGTGACTGTTCTGTCTTTGTCAACTAGAAATGCATAAAATGAAGTTGTACTTGTCCCCAAGAATTCTTTTCTATAAAATGTTCATTTTGCATGAAATTTCCAATGACTGCAAGTATTGTGGATCTCGTTGTTTACATTTGGATTTATATACACTTGTGTAATTGTGGTAATCATTGAACAGATTTTGCCTGATCAGAGGTGAGAGGTTATATATAGTATCTGAAACTGAGGAAAAAGGGTGTTTGATACAGGATGGGATCCTACGAACCAGTGCTTCACCTCATCGTTTAAGTTTAGCTCCGGTGCTTAAAAGGTCATTTTGAAAAGCTGTTTCACTTTCTCAGTACCTGCCATTGACTGCTTTAACTCTGCCTAATTACCCATTTGCTGCCTCAGCACACAAAGAGAACTTTAAAATATGGTCAGCAGTAACTTCTAGTGGATCACTGATTTTTTTATTATTACTTGCAGAGGTGACAGCCGTCTTTGTAGTCAGAAAGCTGCTATATATTCACTTGATACTGAAGCAAATCCACCAGAAAGAGTTTTTAAATTAGTTGACCATATAAATCCCAGTGTTTTCTGCATTCATGCTACAAACTGTAAGTAATGTTATTGCCAATTTAAGCATTAGACACCTGTTTTTATAAGCTCTCTAGGTACAAAAATAGACTAAAATTAACAATAACTAAACTTGTCAAAAAGACTGATTGTTCTGTGCTGATGGTCCTTATGTTGTAATACTTTTATTTGTGAAACTATCTCATACTCCAAGTCTTAGTCTTCTTTATTGGAAGTATGCTTCTGGCTCTAACAAAGCTTAATTAACAATTTTAATCTAATTTTATTTTCTGTTGGCAAATCAAGGGTTGAAAAGTGACATTTTCCTTAATAAAAATTATATGTTTTATCCTAAAAGTCATCTCATTCTTTAAAATGTTTTGGCAGATGAACAAGCACTCTCCTTTAGTTCCCCTGAAATACCTACTGCTGAAAATTTTGATCAGCTACTTAGGAAGTATGGAAGTGCTACTTTCAGTGCTGAGCCCGACAACTGGAGTATGAACTCAGATGCTTCAGACCCTTCTGATGCAAACGAAAGTTACAGATATGAGGTACATGATAGTATGATTCAAGTAGTGTTAAATTGCTTTGTAAAAAAGCAAGTGGGCATTGTTTGCATTTGCTTGTAAAAAATTGCAGTACTGTAAAAGGAAAATTGTTGTTTTGGTCTTTAAACATAGAAATATAAAAAGAAATGTGTAGTGTTGTATTGGCTTTCTTCAAAAGTGAGCTAGATTTTTAAGATCTGAGGAAAGTCACTAGCTGTTCTGAACAAAGAAAGCTGTTAGTGGTGGCTTAAGAATTGACATGCAAAGCGGTATGTGGTGTTGACAGATGTAATGGAAAAAATAACTTCTGTTATACAGATTTGCTGTTCATGCAAATGCTCTAAAACTTTCCATGAACCAAAATATACCTATATATTTGAATATGTCATTTTGTTTGGCAGTATGGTGTTCCTATACAGACGGTGGATGCATTTCTCAGGCTGCCTAGTCCTGTTGTCTCCTCTTGGTGCTCTGATGCAAACCCTGCAGGTTGGAAAATGCATTTGAATTCCAGTTTATTTGCAGTAGAATATTCTGTTCTAACTTAAGCTTAATCAGTCAGTAAACCATCACACACACCAATGTAAATGCAGATAAAGATTTGTGAACAAATGTTTTACAGATATCTTCTGAGTCTGTGGAGGTTTTTTTAGACATAGGTTGGAAGTTGTATTGCAGAGATGTTAGACATTCAGAGCTAGGTATGGGAATCCTTGGTTGGTATTTCTTTTTAATGTTTTGTTTATGCAACATCGACTTAATAATTGATTTAATTGATATAGTAAAGTAGTACAAGGGTGACACTGTGAGAGTGTGTTGCATAAGTATGACCTAACTGGGCAACCTCTTTAAGACATCTTTTTAACAGAATGAGGTTTCTTTCACAGTTTGAATGCAACTGGAGTCAGACTTGCAGACTTGAACCCTACATTTTGAACTTTCAGTTTCTTGAAAATCTGTAAAGGATAACAACAACAAAAAAGAAGCTTGCATTTTCCAAGACCCGTTGTTAAATATGTTCTTCTGTAGTTTTTTATTTGTGTTTTTCATAATTAGTCTTTAATCTCCTTCAGCAATACTTTGTGACTCTCTTCCAGGGTTCTTAGTACAGCAGGCTACAAAATGCATTCGATCAATCAGCTTGGAAAAATGTGACAATGTTCAAGCAGCTAGTATGCTTTTTTATATCAACTCCAGCATTTTAGCAGTAAGTATGATCTGAAAGCATCATGTAGCTGACTGTCCATATTACATATTGTTTTGCATTTCCAGAATTAAGTAACTGCTATTGCCTACAGGATATGACGTTTCTTTTTGATATTTAAACCATGGGTTAGGAAAAATCCAGCAGACTTTTACATAGAAAACTTTTAGAAATGTTTTTACTTCATGCTGAATTAACAGAAGCATTTACCCTTGTCTGCTTAGCCAGCAAAAGTAATGGTCTAGAAGAAAGAAACTTGTGTCACTGAGCTAACTTTGCAGTGGCAGCAATTTTATGTGCTTGTGCATGTAAATCTTTTTACTTAAAGAATCTGTAAGGTTGAATACTCCTCAGTTTTTAATAATGGTGTTAATATAGAGTTATTGCACACATGTGCAATGATCTTCATTATACTCCTCAAATAATGTGATCTTTTACTCCTCTGAGAGTGAACATGTTCATATCCAGCCTACCACCAAGTCCAGTCTGTGGCTGTTTTTCAAAGCTAAGGTTACATTTTCATTCTTTTTTTGAACAAGAGGTTCATATTTATACAGAAGTCCCCTGTGCAAATGTTGAGGAATATTAGAGAGGGCCAAGTGGACAGTAAAGCTGGTTTGTAGGCAGCTCCCCTTGTGAAGATGGGACGTGAAAACAGAAAAATTATTTTGTTTTGGGATGGTCAGAGGGCAGAGCAGGAAACCCTTTCAGTGCCAGCAGGTGGAGCTACTAGCAAAAAAAAATGGCAAAATCATCAGCCCAGGAAGGCCGGGAGCCTTTGGTGAGCAGACTCGCACTACTGTTCCTTTCCATCATTACTGTTCCAACCCCATCATTAGGAGCTTATGCTCACTGCCAAGCTGGGAAACTTGAGTGATATGAAGGCCTTTCCAACAGGGTAACTGCGTGTAACCATGCACTTGTAATGACAGAGGGATACTTAACTTCTCATTTATCTGTTTAGAGACCATGAAATTATGGACTCACTATCATGAGAACGGGGCAACAAAAGCTTTTCTTTGGGTACAGTCTTGCAGATTTCCTAAATTAGCATTCTGTGAATGGTTACAAATGTTTTTGCACAGACTAGTAATAGGAAGAATGTTCTCTAACACTCCGAGTAGGACCAACAAAATGATACACAGCAGTAGTAATGCCAAACCGAGGTGCCTTCTCCTTTCTGGTGCAAATAAACTTCAGTGTTAGTTCTGAGTTGCAGTCAGCATCAGAGGGAAATACTAGATTTGTCTTGTACTTCTTGTATGCCTTGCATGTTTGTTAGGAGTGCAGACAAAGCTCAGCCTGGTGGAAAACTGCTGGTAGTCACTAAGAAACTTTCCAGTTGCTGCCAGGGGAAGAAGAGCACTGAACTGTAACATTTTGCATACTAGCCACAAATAGCAGTTATTTTCACACTACTTAGATACAGCAGGGTGTATCCAATGACTTTCACTATTCAAAAATCACTGTAATGATAGGGAGAAGGGATTAAACAGGCAAAGCAATTAAACCTTAATTGCTTTACTTAACTGCTACTTGTAATAGTTCATACCTTTGCTATTGTTTGAAATTGCTCTTTTATTCTCCTCTAGGTGCCTAAATCAAGTCAGATGGTAAGTATCTTTCTAACTTGGAACTGGGGGGGGGGTGAACTTCTTACTCTGTTATAGTCAGCGGGAGTTTTTCACTGACTTCATCAGAACAGTGACTTCAGCCTTATTCTTTAGAGCAAAAAGTAAGGCAAAAATCCCCTGCACTGCCTTAGGACAAAAATGCTGCAGCTTTTATTCAGTAATAATATTAGCAACTCCAAGATAACATGCTACCAACAAGATAACATGCTATCTGCAGGCAACTTTAATCTGATGTAGTACCCCAGCATGAAACTATTAGCTAATTTTATTTGCTTTTTTAGTTGAACTTCATCAATATGCTTGCTTAAAGGACTATTGACTGCTGTCCCTGCAGAACAGAACTTCTGAAGAGTCACAAATATAACAATACAGAAAAAGCTAAAAATAATTATACACAACATTTAGAAATGACATGGATTATTTTTCAGGTTAATATTACTGTCCGGTCCATAGTTATCCAATCTCTGAATGGAATGCAGACTTTACTTAACAGCAGTGATGTCCTCAGGCACCCTATGGTTTTGAATGAACTGTGCACAAATATAGTTCTTGGGGTAGGTATGACATTTCCTTTTCCCTCTTTTGTTTAGTGAAAAAAGTGTGCATCAAATAATTTCTGATTCACAACTTACAAAGATGTGAGAGAGGCCTTGCCATTTCCATATATTGTGGTATCTCCAAAGCTAGTGTCACAAGAGAAACTTTAGGATAGAAAAATACGTTTTGCAACAAAATAATAACAATATGCAACATAAGGTGCAGTCAAGATGAAATCTTTTTTATTATTGCTCTACATATATAACACAATGGATAATAAATGAGTTTAGAATCCAGATTATCCTTGGGAGACTTAAGGCACAGTGGTAACAGAGAGAGAGGAATATGCACTGCAGATTAACCTCTTTATCCTAAGTAGATGAACATTAGAAACACACCTAGAAGTTTATCAAGAAGTCAGTTTTGATGAGGCTCCAAACATAGATCTGTTTCTAAACATTGCTAATCAGTGGCTTGATTTGGTAACAATCACGTCCTTTACACCTAAATATGCTGATGTGGCTACTAACTTCTTTGCAAATGTTATGGTTTTGTCAGAACAAATTATAGCTTTTCTTGTAGGCTTAAAACTCCCTCTCTTGTGAGGTCAGGAACAATGGGCAAAATAGAATAAATAACAAGCACTGGAAATACTGCTTAATTTTGAGAGAGAAGCTCTTGTTCAGTTTCTTCTATTTTCTGGACCCATCCTTACTGCACCTGAGGATACAATACGTCTCTACAACGTAGCTGTGTGTTTCTTAAACAAGGAAGAAGGAAAACAATACTTACATAGTTTTAAATTCCTTTATTTTAGTTCCATACTCTTATCTACTTGTTCTAATTAATATCTAAAATGTTTCATTTTCAGGTGAGTTATCATATTACATACACAGACACAGGAGAAATAATAGAAGCAGCTGCTTCTTTTGTCTTGGGAACAGTTAACAAAGAAGCACTTTCAATACAACAGAGCTTTGAAATCAGCTTTACTCAGGTAACTGTCAGAGATGTTATGGATGACTTGTTGAAAGACATTTAATTACAAAACTTATTAAACTTGAATCAGAACAATTGTTAGCAGCAGGGTAAAAATGTAACTTGTCCTGACTACACAGATGAGGCAGCATTTCAGAACTGGACATTAAGGGCCTCTAAAGTCTGCTTTTGATGTTTAGAAGACTCATCCTGTCACTCTGTACAAGCACATCCCAGAGAAAGCAAAGCTTGTCCCAGTATCAGAGAACTGGGATATTTTTACTGTGAAGCTTTACTACTGTACAAGGCAGTTATTAACTGGAAGAACACTGAAACATTTTGCCATTTTCCAAATATTTCAGTATAAGATAAGTAATACTGTAAATTTGTGTTGCAGGTAAATACAAATCCAGTTCCTTTCAGTGGTAATCCTGGTTATGTTGTTGGACTGGCTGTAAGAGCAGGCTTCAAGCCACAAGGATATCCTTTCCCTATTGCAATTCTGCTTTCAACACTTGTTCTGCTCCAACTTAAAAATTTTCTAGCTTGAACACCCTATACATCTCATTAGTTCTTTACTGAAAGTAAATGTATGATTTCTGGCTATGTTCTAGAAGTGACCAATATCTGTCCTCACTGCAATCTCCTGGAACTGTTCAGTGAGGTAGACTCAGATCTTCATTGCATTCTCTAATGCTTCTTCATGGTTTAAGAGAAGTCTTGGGTTACTACAGCATTTTAGATGAATCTTAAGGATCTGACTACAGATTCTTTCTTCATAATCCTCAAGTATTGTATTTCCCATTAACTGTGTGTTACATCAGGCATCATTCAGAATACTAACAAATACAGTCAGCTCACTATTCTGCAAAGTACAGCCAACCAGGATTGTCTCACAGCACAGGAAGCCAGAACCCCAGTGTTATTTGGTTACAACATGATATCAGGCTGTAAGTTACGGTAAGAGGACTTTTTTTTTCTTCTTTCCCTTATTCAATGCTTTTAGCCCCACAACAACTCTTTCCAGTAGGATCTATTCACACCCTGGGACATTCATACTGCTGTAAGAGTATTGGGAATAGAGTATTTAATTATAAAAAATATCATTTAATTAACAATGGTCTTTCTCTTGGAGAGATTGTTCACATTAGCAACTTTAGCCGGAAGGCTTGAACAGTGCATGACAGCAAGGAGAAATTACTTCTGTGCCAAACCAATGGATTTTGCTTTAACTTCTTTTTCTCCCCCCACTTCCCCCCGGAAGAATTACAGCAGCTATGAATTGCCAGCCCTTGGCTCAGATCCTCCTAGATTTACTGATGGGACAAAGCTTTCCTGAATATGTGGCCTCATTTGGAAATTCTCAAGCCCAGGATGTGCTTGACTGGGTGCCAATAACTCACCTTCGCACCTCAGAACAGGTGAAGATTAACTCTCCCCTCACTATCACCCTTTCTATCTCCTGTTCTAGGATCTGAACCTTTCTCAGCTTAGGTTTTTCAGACCTACAGGAAAAAAAGTGCAAAAAAAAAATATATTGGAGGACAGTTCCTCTGGAATATTCAGAAACAAGAAATATTTCCCTCTTGCTGTAAAGAGAGCATTTGTGCTACTTTGAGTGGGTTGAATGACAGTCCATCCTCAATTACAGCTTCTATAGAGTTTTTTTGCATCTTTTTTGCAGTTAAACAGTGAATGATTTCTATAAACAGGAACATGAGAGTTAAAAAAGAAATAATCTAGAAATATTTAAGGTTATAAAATTCAAAACTCTGCCCTGGCAAAGTTAAGGGTTTTCTACTGTCCCAACAGCACTACTAAAATGCCATCACTATTAGAAAAGCCTTCTTGCTGAAAAGAGCCAGCTCAGCACTGTCATTAAGAGCCAAAGTCCTGCACTGCTCAGGTAGAACAGCCCTGCCCGAAGTTCACTTACAAGGTCAGTTTGTCACCTATGGAGAAACTTCAGAGACACCCCCAAGCTGTGGCTGTGCTGTCTGTGCAGGCAGCAGTCCAGGGCACAGGCACTGCTGAGCTGCTCTGCTAACCACCTGGAGTGAGCTTTCTGGGGAGCATTATGCTCATCTGATAAGATGAATAAGTAATGCAGTTACTCCCATACAAGTCAGACAATGAGAGGATTTCTAACACTTTTCAGAGCTCCTGCCAAATACCAGTAGCACTTGAAATAGAAGTGAAGTGGACTAAATATGGATCCCTAGTCAATCCACAAGCCAGAATAGTAAACGTTACAGCAACAACCACTACTACTACATTGAAGCAGGTATGTAATTAAATTACAGGATTTCAGATAAAAAGAATGGCTTGTTTTGCTTAGGTATCAGCTGTGCAACAGTGACCTGGTTAATCTCTCTAGATAAAGATAACACTTTATATTAGAATGTATCATACGCACCAGATTCTGTTCCAACTCAAACATGACTGTGGGCAGCTTGCCAAAGCATACTTCAGTAAAATTTGTACATCAGCCATGAAAAGAAGTGTGGAACTATACATGGAAAAATCTTATTACAAATAACAGCAAAAAATATAACTCAGTTTAAACAAAGCAGTCATACAAGGAGAAGAGCAAGGCTAATGCCTCTTTGTATTTTCATTGCAGCTTCCTCTGGGAAGAGAAAGGACTATTCCTATAACAAGTTCTGTTGTTTTCACTGATATTTCTTCACCTGCAGAACCAGGCTATAAAGCTTGGCCCACCATTAATGCCAAGTTACCCCATGACTTTTTCTTCCCATTTGTCTAAGGTAAGTGTCCAAGACAAAAAAAAAAAGAAAGAATAAAAAGTGAATTTCTTTTTCTATTTTTAATCCATTTCCCAAAGAAGCAAGGTTTATCCAGTCACTATTTTGGCCCATCAGTCTCTTCCAAACTGTGGGCATGCTGAGTTAAAAACTGTCCAATAGAAAAAAAGGTGAGCCCTTGGGAGGGTTCTCAAAAGCTTTAAGGCAGGGGGAAAAAAAAAAAAAAAGTATGAGTGATGAGTTGCCAATTGCACTTTTGCTGGGAGGAAAAAACATTGCAGCATGAACTTCTCAGTGGCTGCAAGCTGGCCTGTCAGCACATATCCAGCCAGCAGCTGGGCATTCTGAGCTGGCCCCAGATCAATGGGCTCACAGCAAGCAGGTAGAAAGGGAAGGAGCACAGCTCCATAGCAAACTAGGCTACATTATTCTGTGAACAGCAGAGCTAATTATTAATTAATCAAGTGGCATTAGATAAGGCCTCTGCTTTATCTATTTCTATAGATGAATGAGATACATATTTCTAGTTATTTTCCCCAGATCACTAATGTATTACATTTCTTTTTAGAAATGTGAACAGTTAAATGATGCTTTCAGAAGAGCTCAGTGACCCTCCAGCTGGCTGTGGCTGAAATCAATTGGAGAAGCCTGCTGCAGTCAACACCTATTCCTCAAGTCTCACTCTTCAACTATAAAATATCCCACGGCTGCTAATACCTGAAGAAGTTGACACTGTATTCAAACACCAGCCTTTAGAATATGCTTCCTAATTTATTTATTTTTCCCAGAGTCTAACTGTTCCCAGAAGTCCACTCACCTAGATCTTGTCTTACATATTCTAATTCTTTTAATGTGTTGATTTATGAGCTGTAGAAGCAGACGACTTCGTAGCCCAGCAGCCTGCAAATGAACACTTAAATGGAAGAAAAGATGGTAGAATACAATATCAGAACTCAGATCTGCTGCTGAGAATCAAGCATTGTTTGACATAAGATGGCATGTGTTTGTCTCTATTTTGGTACTCATTTGATCGCCAACTAAAGTCAGATGTTGGTATTTTTGGATAATAACATAAATAATGAAGTGGCACAAGCAGCAACAGAAATCAACCAACAGTATGAAAAGAACTGTTGGCAAAGAAGAGATGTAGCAGTGGTGAACGGTCAGCTGTGAGAGAAGAAATGACATCTCCAGCCTGAATTCTTATATCTGCTACAGTGAGTTTCTACAAGGTGTTGCAAACAAAGAACCTTATCACTGAAAAACAAAATTCCTTGAAATGAGTGGTACTTCCTGAATGTACAGCTTGTAAAGTTGTGTCTTTATTAAATTATTTTGCACTTTTGTCTGTACAACTGTACAAGGGCCTTATGGAGTCACTGTTTACAGGGAGTACTCATTCAATTTTCCAGTAAAGCTATTTTCGCAATCCCACGATCTAATCAAAGTGTGGTCAAATAGAAAACATTTACAGACAACACTATACCAGAGAAAGGAGGCAGAGAGGAAAACCTTTCGGGTCAATCTGATACGTTTCAACACTGCACTCGCCATGGCAGACTTCCCCACCTTGGAAAACCAGCCTCCTATGTTTGCTCGCTGATGAGCCCGTGCTGTTTTAACATCCTGGTAAGCCTCTCAATTTCTTGCTCCTGTTGGAGACAAAAGTCACCTCGTTCACACAACTCTGACCTTAAAGTAGTTTCCTAGATTCCTACAGATCTTCCCATTGCTGAAACGTGTCTCACTGCAGGAAAACAGGACAACCTGGCTAACACAAGTAGGACAGAGGTAGCTGTCATTCCTTTGAAACAGAAACAGCTCAGGGAAGCACAGGCAAGGCTGCGGTTCCTCACAGACACAACTTCACAACTTGCTGATGAGGAAACCAAGCTGGCAGCAACAAGCTTGCAAAAGAATCCCAGGCCAGCTTGTCCTTGGGAGCAGCTGGTAGGTAAAGCATGTTTAATTTAAAAGTGTTTTCTTACCTTCTCCACACAGCTGTGTTGAAGTTGTTCAACCTTTGTTGCGAGTTTCAGGTTCACCTGCTTTAGCTTGGACACTTGTTGTTCAGAGCGGGTCTTCACCGATAAAATTATTCCTGTGCAACAATTCACAGTGGGTTCATTTTACAATGTAAAACAACCACTAGCAGGAGGTGAATGGTACACAGGGAGTTAACCTTGTTCCTCTCAAGCTCAGCTTCTGTCATCTTATAACCACCTTTCCCAAGTGCTTTTCTTAATGAGGAGGTTTTTAGATGAGCCACCCCAGGGACTCAGATACCGATGCTCTGCTGGGAAGAGACAGTCTGGCCTCAGAGCTGAATTAATCACTCAAACTGTCATTCAAATCTTGAATTTGAATTGGCAGAGCCAGGAGGGCCGTAACCAATGCCTCATACAGTGAGGGGCTGCATTCTAGCAGGGCTCACATCACAGGACCTGCTGAGCAGCAGCGCACAGCTCAGCCCCAGGCACAGAGTTGCTGCCAGGACCACACAATTTTGGCTTCACCTTGTGCAACCCAGCAGTAATGGCACACAGTTTCCCTTTAGAGCAGATCTGACACTTCTCTACCAAATTATTCTTAGGTTATTACATGTGAACTCAAACCACACAGTAAAGGCAGTTTCTTCCCACCCTTTTCTGAGGGGGAAAAAAAGCCAAACAACTAACAAACAAAACCAAAAACCTGCTTGGTAAGAGCACCAAGAACAGCACGATCTCCCTACCTGACAGCTCTCCTGGCTGTTTACAGAACAACATGCACTAACTCAGCTACCAGTGCTACAGGCAGCAGGCCTGCAGTTTTGGGGTTCATTTCTCCAAAAACAAATGAGCAATGCCGCTTATTTGCACTGATAACAACAAACAGCTCCCATCTGCTGTAACCCAGCCTCTACCAACCAGCAGGGGCTGAAGGCACCAAACCACACTTGTACACAGCAGCACCCAAAGCTGTGGTTTGGTACCAAGTACAGCACCAAGCAGGTGGGCATGGTGAGCAGCCCTGCCATGGGAACAGACCCAAAGATAAGGTTTCTTTGCAAAATGCAGTGCTGTTTTTCCACTATGAAATGGTGTATTAAGAGATACCAAGCTCCTGTGGCTTATGCATCTACACACCAGGCTGCTTTCTGTCCAACCTCCCCTCCTAAAGAGCCTCAAGTTGCTCTCATCCTCCTCTCATCCTCCAGAGACACTGCCCCCATCAGAATGGCACCAGAGGGGCCAGCTATGGGGGACTAAACATCTCTTTTCCTCCTACTCTGACTCACAGGACTTACACCAAGCACTCACCAGGAGTGCATTTGTAGGCACAGGGCTGTGGTCTATACTTGGGCAATGGTTTCATGCAGGAATTAAGGATAAGCTCATTGCCAGTATATTATTTAAAAAAAAAAAAAAAAATCACAAAATGACTTTTCTTCAAAAGGTAGAAAATGGTTCCAGCTATGGCAAATTTAGAAATGTCAGAACTTACAACTATTCACCACAGTTTATAGTTCCAACAGAAAGGTCTAACTTGGGAACATCTTGTATTCCTCTTTTTACAGCAAATCCTTCACCTCCTAGCGAGAAAAACCCAGCAGAAGATCAAGATGTTCCCTGCAGCACCCTGGGGGGGATGACGGAGCCGCAGCGGAGCGACAGAGCCATCAAACCCACACTGGTGCAGTTCACCTTGCTCCCTGCTAAAGCATTGCCAAGAGGATCCTGCGATGCAAACAACGCTGTGCGTCACATCCCTTCGGGAGGGAACTATGCAAGAACAGCGTTCCAGTGGCTTGCAGGGAAACGTGCTGCTTTATGCCCGTCACCGAGTCATCGCACCCACACGAGCAATGGGTTGTTTTCGTTCCGGAGAGATCACAGCCTTGCAAAGGTCACACTCCAGCAAAACTTAATTTGGTGAGAGAACAAAGGACCCTGCACTCTTTCTTTGAGATGGGAAAGAACGCGCAAGGTAACTCAGGGAAGGGCAGCAGACCCAGCCTGTGCCACGTACCGTTGATGATCCTGGCCACACGCCACAGCCGCAGCAGTATCAGGAGCCCCACAGCTTCAAACTCGTGCTCCCGGAAAAGGAGGACGAGGTCGAGGATGAAAGACACGACGACAACGATGCTGTCCAGCACTTCGAACTTGTGGTGGAAGAATTCCCGGCCATAAATGAAGATTTTAAACCCCACCTCAACCAGGAAGATGGTGAGAATGGAAAGGGAGAGGTAGTGGAAAACCTGTGAAAAGAGAGTGCAGATTTAGAGCTAGGAACCCTTTCCATCTGTATGCGTGGGGCAGGCTGGGAGCCTCTGCCACTCCAGGGCTTCTCCAGTTGAGCTCTGCGGGAGACCTTGGCTGAACCAGAGCAGAGGGGTGGTGAGCACAGTGCAGCTCTGCTGAGCTCAAGGAAACACAGAGCTGCTGCACTGACCATGGGCTGCTCAGCTTTCTGAAGAGAGAGAAACAGCAGTTCCCCTTGATTCTTTCTCGTATTTTACCTTTGGGGCTATGTGATATTTGTCTGGATGGATGATCTTCAAGTCCATCAGCAGTTCACCAAGGACCAGCAAGGCATCCACGATGACCAAGAAGACAATGACAATCTGTAGGAGAAGAACTCAGGTGAACATCTCCTAGTGCAGCAAATGGGCACAAGTCCATAGGAAACCACTCAGCTCCCACCCTGCACCCAATCCCACATCATTTCTGCTCCCACAGTGCCTTCAGGCCAAGCTTTGCCTTGTTTTCCTTTTGCCTATGCTTATCCTGCCTCACCTGAAACCTGCGTGAACTGAAGAGCTTCTTCATCACATCTTGGAAGGTGACGTGGCCACGGGAGGGCTCCAATTTGATCTCCGAGTCCTTCTCCCCATTGTCCTCCTCCTCTTCCTCCCATTTCTGATAATCGTTGCTCCACTGTACGGGGTCATCCCCCACCACCGTGAAGTGCTTCAGGTACCGGGACATGGCTCCGGATCAAGCGGGCATCCCCTGCCTGCGGGACCAGAGCTGAGCGTCACCTCCCCGGGGATGCGAAACCTCCCATTTCAGCACCGTGAGCGTGACAAGAGCGCGGTGCTTCGTTCTGAGAACAAAGCCTGCGGACGGGAAATTGCTACACGGTGCTGCCGCTTGCTTTGCATCGCCGCCCACGGCACAGCGTGAGCCCCCACCGCCTCCCAGGGCTCCATGCACCGCTGAACTCTGAGGCTCTTCCTCAACAGGTTACTTCCAAACATACCAAAACTTCAGCTATAGGGGGAAAACAGCAGCCCTTATTGAGATCGGTCCTCGCTGCGCGCCCAGAGCCTCCCTCAGCCATACAGGCAGCCTCAGCCCGGCTCCTCCCGGTCCCTCTCACCCCAAACAACAGCTGTGACTTCCCTTCCTTCGCATCACCCTCAGCTCCAGCCCAAACTCGTGGATGTGGCCTGACATCGAGCAGGGCTGCGGGAGGGGCTCTGTCTGCTCCTGTGTTCCCTTTTCACAGCCCTTCCTCTTCTGGACAACTTGGCGAGCTTGTCCAGCCCACCAACCCCACAAGAGAGAACCCTCTCTTGGTGCCAGTACATAATTGCATCCCCATCCCCATCCATTCCTGGCCAGGAGCCGAGCACGGGCCGACGCTCGAAGCAACCAAGTTGAGGGGCCGCCAGTCACAGGATCCAGAGCCGTCACTGTGGCATAGGACAACCCAACCCAACCCCAACCTCTCCACCCTGTTGACACCGAACCGGAGCCCAGACATTCCCAACACGGGGCCAAGACCCAAAGGAAGACGAGCGCCCGCCCAACACCTTCACCCTCGGCCCGGGTTGGGAAGCCGTGGCCAGGCCCCGCCGACCCACAGCCCCCCACTGCCCCCGCAGCCCCGGTACCGTGCGCGTCCCACTGCCGCCGCTTCCCTCCCGCTGCAGCGGAGCTCCCAGCCTGGCTCCGCCCATCCCGGCCGGGGGCGGCCCCACTGCCCCGGCCCGGCCCCACCGAACTCCCCCCAGCCCGGAGCCTCGCTCCCTTCTTGCTGACGTTTTCCGTTTTCGCAGCATTTTTTTTCCCCACTTTGGCCCCGATGGACGTCCATGAGCGGAAGCTGCAGGAAGAGGATACACCAAATGGATGTTAACTTTTTGTTTGTTTTCCTGAACTTTTTTGCAAAATCAGCTGCGCGCTCGTTCTGCAAGAAACAGCCACGAGGATGGGCACGGAAGGGAAGCCCGAGTGCTGAGACCAGAGCTCAGCTGCTGAGGGGTGCGGATGAGTCCCACGGAGCAGACGGAGGTCGGGATCAGGAGGATTACAACGGTGTAAACCTGAGAAACGAGGCCACAATTAACTCACCTCCATTTTTAAGGGCCCTACTTACTTTGGGAACCCACCATCTTTCAAACACAGCTGCTTTGAGAAGTGCACCGAGCAAACTCAGCTGCAAAAGCATCAGGAAGGTGTCTCCGCTACAACAAACTCAAAGTATCCTCAGTGCTCCACCAAGCAAAAGCTCTCTGTTTTTACCTGTTTCTTTTTCCTCCTAGAGAGCCTAACACTTTTCCTGGAGCCTTAACCCAAGCACACAGCCCTCTCCCCAGCCCATTCCCCGGGGTGAAGGGGAAGCAGTGCATACAATCACACAATGCCCAGTGCAGAGTCCCAGAGCCCACCCCCAAAGCACCTACTTGCAGAGAACAGCACAGGTGTGACCCTGCAGCAGCAGGAAGGAGGAGCTTTAACCTGGGCGTTTCCGGCTCATTTAGGCATTTGGTCTCAGCTGGCCCCCAAAACACCAACACAATCAGCAAATGGAAGAAGGCACCAGCTCAGCTCAGGACTGAAGCTGCAGACAGCAGCACTTCCTCGTGAGAGCCCTACAGACCCGAATCTGTTCTCGGTAAGGAGTGCAGGAATTAAGGAGAAAACACAGCCAGCTGCTGTGCTGCCTGAGGGCTGAGTCAGCCGTCGGGATGGGGAGTGCAGGTTGAGCTCTGTGGGTCACAGAAGTACCTTGTGCTCCTTGCTGCCATCAACTCCATTCTCACTGTGGAACGGGGCCTCCACCAGCTCTGATCCATGCTGGAGCAAATTGTCATTGCTCCTCAGCTTGGGAACAACTTTTCCAAGGCCAGGAATGCTAAGAGCAGCTCTGTCAGCTCACCCATGTTCTTCTGTTGCCAGAGCACACCCCCATCACAGCTGGCTGATTCTGCCAAATTAAAAGAAGGGAGATTTAGATTGGATACAAGGAAGAAGTTTTGACACTGAGGGCAGTGAGGCACTGCACAGGGTGCCCAGAGAGGTGGTGCTGCCCCATCCCTGCACACAGCCACGCTCAGGGGACTGGGCTGTGAGCACTGATGGAGCTGTGGGTGTCCCTGTGCACTGCAGGCAGTGGGAACAGATGGCCTTTGAGGGTCCCTTCTGACTCAAACCATTCTATGATTGGTTATTTTTAATCCATTTGCTGAAGGCAGTCACTCTAGAAAATATATATGCAATGAGTGTATGTAGTGTTTTCTTTTTATAGTAACAATGCTTTTAACCTTGTTAATTGCAGGATGAGCCTCCCTGCATTAGGATGGTGTGCCTGGGCTGCAGGCACTGGGACAGAGCAGAAGCCCAGCACTGCTGCACGCCATGCAGGAGGTCAGCAGCCTCTGGGCTGTTACACTGCTGTGGATGGAGGTGCGGTGCTGCTCAGCATCGGCCACCTGCACCCAAAGCGGAACATGCAGAGTGTGCGGGTACTGAGATGAAGGGCTTGGGCTGCATCTGACAAAGAAAAAGACATGCACTCCCCAAGGTCCCCAAAGAGAACGTGCTCAGTGTCACGTTCTGCAAGCCAATGTTTTGAATAAGAACCACTTTGCACAACCCTGTGTGAGCCAACAGCACAAAGGAGCTCAGCCCATCTCCAGCATCTGCACTGCAGCCTTGCCTGCCCCGAAGCCTTCCCCAGCCCGTGTGCTTTTGGCTGCTTTGCAGGGCACAGGCCTGACACTGCTGCATCCAAAAGCTCTCTCCTACATCCACTTCTCATTCAACAATTAATATTGCTTAGACATTAAACTTGGATTTAAAGGATGCTGCATCCGGGACAGACGTTACTGAAACTGCTGTAGCCTCCTGTATAGCCTGAGTGCCTTTAGTCCAGTCCTGCACTGCACACAAAATGAATGCTTTGTTCTTCATTTCACAGTACTGCAGCTTCACTTCACAACACAGGATCAACAAATCCTAAAGCAAACCAGGGGCAACAGAGGGCAGGAACCTTCCCCACCACCACAGTGTGCTTTGGGACTTCCTTTAGCCCAGCAGCTGCTGCCTGGGGAATGCAGTCAGGCAGAAAACAGAGCCCAGAATAGGCATGTGTGTCACTAAAACCACATCTGAGGGCAGAGCTGCAGTCAGAGGAAAAAGGTGTGACGCACCAACGAAGGCTGCTGCAGAGATGGGTTAATGCACTCCTTCAGATACAAGTGAGAACTGGTTCTGTATGTTTCTATTAACCAGATCAGTAACAGTGCACACCACTATTTTATGTGGTGGTAGAAAAATGATAAAGCTATCAAGAAAACCACAAATCTGATTTAAGAGGTGAAAGCACATCTGTGAGAAAGCCCTCTTCCAGCCAATCCAACACCTAATCTAATGGGGCCATGAACAGTAGTTACAGAGGTAGTTTGATTAATTAGTTTTAGAAAGCAAAAATCTGAGTAGGAAAATGCTTTGATTTAGCTGAGCAGTGCATTTAAAAATGTGAAGATCAATAGCTCGGCCCTGCCCACTGTTCTCATCAACAAAGTTCAGCTCACTCCAGGGGAAAGGAGCAGAATCTGATCTGATCAGCAGGATACCAGACCAGAGCTGGTGGCTGACCCAGGGCAGACATTTCAGTGCCAAATGGAGCAACACCCAGACTCCATCGAGCACCTGCAGCCCTTAGCACAGCCCTGACACCAACAAACCGCCCCAGTCACCTCCACGTCCTGCAGTACCCCTACAACGCACACAGGAACAGGTGAGAGATGAACACAACCAGCAGGGCAGGACAGCAAGCTGCCCACGCTGCACCTTAAGTATTTCCTCCCATGGCAAACTGCTGCAGTTGGCATGCGTACCAAACCTTGGTACAGTAACAGCAGTGGTAAAGCACACTGACTTTCATCATCAAGAATCAGAGGCACAGCTCTAGTGTGTGCAGCTCAGACAAATCCAAACCAGAAGTGTGTGGGTTTCCAGAACGATTTATTTATCTAAGTCATGTCCTCTGATAGCAGTAGTGCATACGTTGTGATAAACCGACACCGAGAAGATTTAACAATTTCTTCATTTAATAAGCGATTTTCACTACATGGTATTGTACACTGTCATCTGTTCAAAAAAGAGTCTCAGTTTTTAAAAAACGAGATACCGTGAGGTATCTGTATAAACTGCTGATCAATGCCTTGGGTTGGCTCTTCAAGCTGTTTCCTGGGCATCTTCGTAGAACAAAGTCTTTAGGCCAAAATGCACAATGCCATTCAGGCAGACGTGGAACCGTTTCCATAACTTCCAGCTGTCTGACACGGCTGCCGTGGGACTGATGCAACTGTAAGAAGTCCGTTTGATAGAACATACAGAAACTGTACAAAATTGTGTTTAATTTTACTGTGAATAGAACAAACAGCACAGCATTTCTACTCGCTATTTCAAGTCCAGACTTCCTTTTCTCTCCATAAGGAAGGCATGAATGGAAAGCCCTGCCAGCTCAGTGCGGTGGGTCGTGTACATACAGATTTCTATGCAGACTTTGGCTTCAGGAAAGACACGAACACTTGAAATAATGGCTTCAGTTGTCTCTTAAAGGACAGGGATGTGTGTTTTCATTAAATATACATCATACCAGTGATGCTAGGGAGGTTGAAGGTTATTTCTAATGTTGACAGCGATAAAACCAACGTGTACAGGACAAGACATAAAAAGAAAAGCAATCCCTTTAAAACAAATTTTAACGTAAAAAAAGTTCACAGTGGTTTGTATAAACAGAATGTAATCTCCAACAGTAACAAACTCCTACTCTCACAGCACACTAGTGCCCTCTTTAGATCCTAAAGAAGAAAACAAGCATTTACACTACTCATTGTACAGATTGAGAAAGTCAGTTGTACAGTTACCCATAATGACAGGATAAATGTTGGAGTGTACAGCTGGAACACCAACAAAAGGAAAGTGTAAAACTTTTCCTAGAAGGGAGAAAAGTCCTTCATTTGCTGTTACAACCAGCAAATGCCATTCATCAAATCAAAAGGGAAACCACAAACACGTTCTATTTTGAGCAAGCTGAACAGTACACGTTACAGTTTAAAAATGAAGGTTATATATTATAATACAAGTCCCAACAAGGCAGTACCACGTGGACTATTTCTTTGCTTGCTTTGTGATCATACTCCTGGGAGGTGTTACGGGTCTGCTAGCGTTGGGCTTCTTCTTCTCTGCGGGTTTCAAAATCTGAAAGAGACAGTTCAGTCTTTAAGGAAAACTGTCAGCAGTCTTACATCCCAACAATCCATTTGCTAGCATAAGGCATTACGCAGATCATCTGGGCAGCTCAAAAGCCTCTGAAATAAATGGATTTTCTGCTCTGAGCTCTGGCGGGCCTTAGAGCAGCTGATCAGAAAGCCCATGCCAATGAAACAGGAAGACAGCTGATAGCTTTGCTTTGGTGATTTAATCCCAGGGTCAAACGGTTCATCTACTCACACCAGTAAGGGCTTATCACATTTTTAAAGCCACAAGGACAAACACAGCTCTGCCTACATTTGATATCTATGAGATCTATTGGAAGCAGGTGTTACAGTTTTGTGATGGTACAGTATAGATGGAAAAGAGGAAATTTAAAGTGTTATTGCAATAACTAGGAAGTAAAGTTGTCAGATACAATACCTGAAAAGAACACATTAAGGTTTCATCCACACTCATCATGGCACCTGCATTATCAAATTCTCCACAGTAATTTGGGGCAGAAAAGAGAGTTACCAATTGTCTTTTTGCAAAAAACTCATATCCATCTTCCACAACCTTTGGAGAGAAATGCAGAAATTACACCAGGCAATTTCTTCCAGACAAAGTACAATGCAGCTCTAGCAGAGTCAGCAGCTGAAGAAATAATTACAGCCAAGGAGCACGGGTCCTACACTTTCACCCCCAAACTGGAAAAACATAAGTTCCAGTTTAGCAACAAGGCCCATCAACAATAAAAGCCACCAGAGTTCTGCTACATTCAAAGCTATCTTGTTCAAATATCAGACCCACACTATGAATGTATTAAGAATTAATTATAAAGGTTTTTAAACAGTGGACAAGTTGCTCCAAGATGCTGGAATCTCCATCCTTATAGATATTTAAAAGTCAGCTGGATGAGATCCTGTGTGTCTGGTCTGACACTGTTTTGCTCCACTCTGAGTATACGTGTGTGGAGATGACCACCTCAGGTCCCTTCCATTTCAATTATTCTACAGTTTAATGCACAAAACTAAAATACCTGGTGAGCTCTACATATGAGATCCAAATCATGTTTATGGAGAAACTTAGCAACCACTTCAGCTCCAAAAGTAAAGGACACTCCTCTGTCATTTTCACCCCATCCTAAGACATCTTTGTCAGGATCAGACCACAGGAGATCACAAAGAAGACCCTGGTCAGGTACATCAGTGGGGCGCATAATTCGTCTGATCTGTTCCATTGACTGCAGGTCTGGTGACAAACCTGTATGGAGTTGAGACATACACAGTAGCATTTTACTCCAACTTACAGTGTGAAATTGAGGAATCAGCTCAAGATGAAGAAAGCTCACACAGACTGATCCACCATCAACATTTGGTGTGGTCCAACGACAACGTGAACCAACATTTCAATCCAGCATTTTTCTTTAAAGCTTTTCTGACAGAAGACCAGAAGATATACTGAGAGCAAGATAAGCAGAGCCACTTCCATGTGTAAAGGATTACAACAATCCTACTTTAATAACCTGCAAGTGTCTGTTAGGAAGAGCTATTAAGAGGCATTAATACTAGAAGTCACAAGGCCTGTTTATTTTAAAGATCAGGCTGAATAACATGGAATACAGGATCAGATCTCATACCTCATACCTTTTTTTTTTTTTTTTACTGATATTTCTCTCAAGCAACTGTTATTACTTGCAGGTGATAGTATATGTATTGCAGATTAAATGCTTCGTGCAGCTTTTCAAAGTAATTAACAAGTATCACATAGTATAACAGGGCCAATCTGTAAAATGAAGCACTAAAACATTGCTTTCAGAATGTTTAACAACTTCTGGTCATGCAAGTCAAAAAACCATTAGAGACTCTTTATTCCAAAGGAAACAGTACTGGAGATGTCCCCTGACTAAAGATAAAGAAGGCAGAACTACCAGCTCAGCAGTTCACAACACTACCACTAATCAAGCTCTCAACACAAAGCGAGGCAGAGACAAATCCCTGAAGTTTCAAAACTTCAATAATGAGGTCCAAGATAAAAAAAACAACAACACAAAATAACTTTCCAGCAACAGAGGAGCACACATCATGAATATGAAATTGCCAATATTTCAGTATTACAGGGTACCACATTTTTTAAAAATATCAACTAAAGAACTCACCTCCATGACAGCAGAATATCTTCTCATCCACAATTGCTGCTATTGGTAAACAGTTAAAACAATCTGTGAAGGTTTTCCACAGCTTAATATTGTATCTTCTCTTACCTAGAAAAGTTAGGAGGTAGGGGGGAAAAAAAGACAATATATTTTAACACAACTACAAATAACCTAATATGGCTGCCTGCAACTAAGACTTGCAAAAAAGTGAACAACAAGGTTTATACACAATTATTTATCTTCTCTGAACCCACTGACATACTGCTAAGAAAGCTGCAAGGCCTTGTGTGTCAGAGACACAGCTTTGAAATGGCTCTGAGGACTGCACACTCCCATTCAAGAGAATGTTCTACTGCTGGCAGCCAGACTCCTGCTTCCACTTTGGAAAAAAATCCCTTGGAGAATCTGATTAGTTAAAAAAAGAAAATGTCATGTGCTGCTTTTTCTTAGGGATAGATAGCACTCCCTCCAAAGCAGTTTTCCCTTCAATTTCTACTAGTACTTTACTGCAAAGTCTCTGGGCAAAGAAATAGGACTGAAAAAAAAAATGAAGCTGCTGCTGTTTGTCTTCCAAGTGACTCTCCCAACAGATACGAACCCTGAACATATCTGCACCATGTGACTAAACCTGTGATTAATCTCTGAGGAATCAACTCAAACACTACACAACTCCACTTCCTTGTTGAAAAAGGAGAACAAGACACAGAGAGAACATCTTGTGAGCTCCAAGCCAAGCATGTCCCCAACAGAAGCTGTGAGAATGCCTCAGTACCCAACCACCATAACAGCTTTATCTCCTCTACACGAGATTAGGTCACATCTTTTTGAAACATATGAACGTATGCATGTGTTAAGTTACAGGACTGATTGAGAACTAGATTGCAAGCACTGTCACGTAATAACAATACAGAGCAGCCCCTTATCCCAGTGAGTACACCTCATAAGGTAGATGAAAAAAAAAATGAAACTGTAAAGCAAAGTAAAATCCCATAATCTCTAACCAGACAACCTTAAGAACTTTACAAATGCATACCAGTGGAAACAGTTGCTTAACTTCAATGCCAATAAATAAAATTACCACTTTGCTTGCAGTTCTGTGCTGTGAGGACCAGATGATAATAAGATGAATGCAAAGACGACTTCTTTGCTAACACAGACCATGGGGCCATCTGAACTATGCAGAGCTAACTGCAAGTTCAGAAAGCCATTTAATACTGGATGTCTAGAAGACAGCAAGCACCTCCTACCCTGATTTCCCAAACCAAAGATCCTTACATCTGTCCATATTACTTACATTCATCATAAAATCCATAAATTCTATTAATGCTGGCACATTCGTGGTTCCCTCTGAGGAGGAAGAAGTTCTCCGGATATTTAATTTTGTAGGCCAATAGAAGACAAATTGTTTCTAAAGACTGCTTTCCTCTGTCAACGTAGTCACCAAGGAATAGGTAGTTGCTTTCAGGTGGAAAGCCTCCATATTCAAAGAGCCGAAGCAAGTCATAGTATTGTCCATGGATGTCACCTGTAAAATGCAGTCAGAAATGGCACATAACTGACTTTATGATATTTTACCATTTTCTTTCTAGAGAAGCAGGAAAAACCTGCAGATGAACAGGAAAAACCTGCAGACAGATACTGCCTGCAGCATTCCTGAAGATGACATAGTTTGTCTTACTGCTATCATACTCCAAAGGTTGATATCTGTGTGAGACATTGACTAAGAACACATTATGACTTCAGTATGTAGAAATACACACTCATAAAACAAATCCAAGATCCCAAGAAATCAACTCTGCATACTCAGATAGAAGTGTGGCAGCCATTTAATTCCTTTATTTGACTACTGGCTGCAAGACTAGGAACGTCTACTTCATTCTTGATACAGCCACACTTCAGTAGTGACACTGATGGAAAAACTGCTTGGGGAATTTCCTTTCCTCTATACCATGTCTGGTATTCTCCTGCAACACCCAGTAACTCAAATTCTTGCAGGGAAGTCGGATTGGAAGAAATCGATATTTCTGCCTTTGGTTTAAATCATGGTTTTGTTTCCGGCAAGCAGAACAATAAATCTGTTTTTAAGACTACCACATATTATAAATATTGAACAGGCTACTTCAGAAGCAGATCCGCAGTGTTGGAGCAGGATAAAATACTGCTTCCTGGAACCTCTGCTAGCGTGCATTTATTGAGGATTTATTTTGACATCCTTCATCCTTTTAGCATACCTAGACATGCACATGTAAAAAATGAGCAATATCACCATGTGTAAATAAGGTGAAACCAAACCAGAGGTGATACAGAAACTTAAGTTTCCAGAAAGATTTTAAAATTGTGTCAAACCACAGTTCAGCTCTGAACAGCAGCTACCATCAACTACTGTGTCTCCTTTTTTCTCCTTGTTCAGTGATGACTGATCTGAGCAATAACTGATAGAAAAATCTCTTTCCAAAACTTCTGAATCTTTTTGTCATGAGACTTGATCAAACAGGACCAGCTAGTTTCTGATTTGGGATTTTTTGGTCCCCTCTACAATTCCCATTTACCTCCTTCCCATTCCTCCACTTGAAGCACTCAGGACAGGCTTACTTTCCCTTTTGCTACAATCATTCATCAGTTTCATAAGCAAAAGCAGCATCTGGCATGCATCCTCTGCTTAAAAGAGGATATCCATCTAAATGCCCCCCACTCCCAACCACGCATCAAATCACAGCACTTACCACATATTTTCAGTGGAGCTTCAAGTTCTAGCAGAATAGGCTGACTGAGAAAAATTTCTCTGGATTTCAAGCACAGTCCTCTGATTTCATTCTCCTGAAGTTGGACATTTTTACCTGGTTTTGATCCTCTCACTGTTGGAAGCAATCAGAAGTCGGTTACCCAAGCCAAGAGTATTCCCAGGGTTATTTTAAGAGTGCCTACACACCACTAACATTGAATGAGCATGAAACAACTGCTCTTTCACAACTAAATACTTCAACAATATTTCACAATATTCTGTATTTATGCTTAGCTGCTAAACTCAGCTGTTTGCTGTCTTATTCAAACTACACTTATTTTAAGAGTTCAGAGTAAAGTAAGCCAGTATAAATGCATATGGGAACGTCAGACATATGAGCATGCTTGCCAGCCCATCACCACCACCAGCTGGAGGTTAAGCTAACTACTGACAGATTAAAGCAGTCAGACCACAGATAAAGCTGAAAAATAAACAGTTTGAGCCCCAGAATTCATAAAAACAAAACAAAATCCATTTCCTTAGATGAAGAAAATACCCAAGCCACACAAGGTTTATAAAACACAGTTTCATTCTACTCCTAAGTCAGGTTTCGGTTACAACTAGCCTGAAGGTAGCATGCTACCTGCATTTCATCCTCAGAAAATGCCTCCACAAAACAAGACTTGTCAAAATCTAACGACCTGGTACACGCTTAATGACTGTTTTACAATCTAAATGGACCAGTCAGACAAATACAGTTGAGTTCCTAAAAACTGCCTCGAAGTTACAGAGCATGCTGCAGAAATTAGTAGTACTGAACCATCATCAATATTGCAAGACAATATTTTATCTTTTTACTACTCTTATTTCACCCTCCCATAAACTTATTCCACCAGTCCCTCAGGAGCACCAGAGCCACAGGAACAGCTGAATGCACTGAACATCTCACAATTGGAAGGAGAGGTGGGAACCCTTCAAACAGAATTTCTACTCCGTATGATCGGGACTGTCAATACACTTATTTTAGAAGATTCCTGTAAATCCCATCGTCAGGCTTTCCCACTTGTTGGTTGTGCCAAGGAGAAGGAGGAACAACATGAGAAAAAGTGCAGAGCTGAAGGAAGGGCCTAGAACCAAAATAATTTCTTAAACACATTAAAATCAAAGCCACCAAACCGATGAATTCTACAACAAAGCTGAGAGGGAGCTATTAGCATCATTACTGCTTTGAAGAGTCTCTACTATGGAGAGAAACTGACTGTCTCAAACCTACAAAAGGTTTAATCAAGAGGGAAACAGCTCATGTATTTCAGAAAAGGAGATTCTAGTTCTTCAGCCATTTATGTTGAGCTATTTCATTACTCACTTAGAGCCCACACAAACTCACCTATAGTAAAGCAAGCACTGTATTTTCTGTATTTTCTCCATTGGCTCTCTCCTTACCAGACCTTCTGAACACAGTGAAAGGCAACCTGGTACCAGATTCATCTCCCAGCTCAGGCTGTTTTTTCAATCCTTCATTCTTTCCACCTCCTCCAGTACAACACCTCACAGTGTTTGGTTCCCTTTATCACCTGTCAATGCTCAGACACAGAACAAGGACACCAGCTTGGCCTGAACAATTTCCTGCAGCTACCAGAAGAGTTTTTCCTCCATTTATCCAATCCACCCCTCAGTCGCAGACACCATTTTCTGCTGCCCAGAAATACAAAGGAAATGTCTTTTAGCCATAATTTTTCAGCTGTAACTAAATTGCATGCACGAGCATTTGTCATGGTTAGATTGAGTGAACGGAGTAAGTGGACCATGCTGTTACTGTCACTGCACACTTTCTGGTTTATGAAACCAAAAGTTTCATAAGAAGAGAGAATTCCAGAGTAAGGAGAAGGCCTGAGGGGGGGAGGGTGGAATGCTCTGGAAGAGTAAGAGCAAGAACTGTTTTCCAGAGGGATTATGTTCTCTTATTAGTGTTTAAGTTTCCAATTTTATGCAAGTTTCTGATCACAAGCAGAAGACATTATTCAGTTAGCATGCCTTCTTTAGACAAAGAATAAAACAGTGATTGTGTTATATCCGTTCATAAAAACAACTGTCACTGGCCCAATCTCTGCTGGCACTTGGCGTTACCACCAGAACAGCTCTACCCTGCATACCAACTCCTGTCAGAGACCCTAGTCGTGCTCACAGTCTGCACTACAGAATCACTGACAACACTGTAAAGCACACAACCTTTTCCCAAACAAGCTTCAGAATCAAGCTTCAGTCCAAGTCACAACATGCAATGATAGCAACATTCAGTTAAGCGCAGGCCAAAAGTCACTGCTTTAATAACGCTATCTTTCAAGCAATACATGCTCTTCTATTACCCACTGCCTACGTATTACTGCTCACCACTGGCATTTACTCACATGGTGACACTGAAATTACCACTAAACTTCAAGTATTCCATTAAAATATTACAAGTAATGAAGCATACAAATGAGAGTTAAATCTTTGTCACAGCACTTTATCACGCATGAGGCTTCCCATCCGTGCAGTCATTTTTTCATCCATACAGTAATTTTCCTAATGCTCCCAAGCAATGAACAAGGTACTAAAAATGCCAAATATCCAGAAGCAATAATGAACAGAAATGTACAGAAAAAAAGTGATTTGCTGGTGAAACTGTAAATGCTAATTTCCCCATTCTTCTTCTTCTACTGTAGAACTCATCTTTGATTTTAGAGATGACATACATGCATGCAAAAATTCAACTTTTCCATGATTTGCTCCTGCTAGAAATTGCTAAAAAATACATAAAATCAAAACCTGTATCTCACACACATAGATTAAGTATAAAAAAAGCACACAATGTAAGTAACACATTGAGTCACTACAGCTCATGAATAAAGCATATGCATTCATTTTTGTTGAAGATTAAATGGAAATCTGAAAACTGACTGTTTCAGATTCAAGTTTCCAAGGTTTCTGACCTATTTCCATTGGACCAGTATAATCCCCCGACAGTTTTAGTCATTTGATTGTAGGAATCCTCAGTGCGATCAGATGCTTTGTTGCAGTTTATACAAACTCACCAACACAGATGTCAAAAGGACAAAAAAAAAAAGGAAGATTTGATTCAGTTCTGTACCGTGCTGCCTGCCAATGACAGACATTCATCCAACATAGGATCAGCACAGGAGAAATGAGCTTGTTCAATTACTTCCAACAGTAGCCTATATATCAAAAAGTTGTACAAAACATTTTTGGCTTCAGAACAATGGAAGATGTGCGTTGGTTTGAGAAATCTGTATTTTTGGTGCAAGGATTTTCTCAATCATGATGAAAGAGCTGGCAAGAAAATGCAGGATATTCAGTCTGTCTGAATTCTTAAGAGGCTTCTGCGACTGAATCCTAAATGATTTAGCCCCAGTAAGAAGGGCAAAAATAACATCCTATGAAAAATGCGGTATTCAAAGTTTCTCTTCTCTGATTTGGACCCAACCCAGGCAGCTTGCAGAGATCAGACGTACACTACTAATTGACAGCTTGGTCAAAGTCAAAAGAGCAGCTGACAGTGCTGTACTCACACATTTGTTCTTTCAATGCATAAAAAATAACCTCTCTGAAATGATAGTCTGGAACTGAGAGCGAAACAAGCTAGAGATTAATCAACTGAGGTAAAAAGCCAGGCTGCTTAAATAATATTTTATTTACACCTTGTCCCAACACACTGCTGCACTATTTCCAGACAGAAATATATTTCCTTCCTCCTTTAGGCAGAGACATTCTTGCTTTTAAAATTCATTTTGAGAGCTTGAATTTCAATGTCCAGCCTGGGCAGTTTTCTAACAAGCAAAATCTGCAATGTATGAGTGTAGGAGCTTAGGAAAAACACGTTCTCCCTTGGCTGGAAAAAAACACAGAAAAGATCACTCCCTGAGACTTGGATGCTCTCTTCTGCAGACTACTCTTCCAAGTCACAGTGACTGAACTAGAAAATACTCCAGCTTCCACAGCTATGTACAGCAAAGCCAATGCAGGAAAGTTTTGAAGGAGAGCAATACATCTGTTGTCCAAAAGTTTAAGCTCTATGAAGATATCGACATTCTAGAGCTTTTCATTTTTCCAACACGTTAAGCAGATGCCTAGCCATAGCACTGTAGCAGTGACACCTATGTGCTCTTTTAGCCCTCTGGTATTTGCTTTTCCAGACCTTATTTCTAAGAGTTACACAGGCTCCTCACAGCCTGTTCAAAACACCATTTGATAGATACCAACTACTAAACTTATTTTTGTGCTTTCCAAGACTGGAAGGAGAGCTGCTGGAAAGCAACAACAGATCACAGATCCCAACTTTAAAATGAGGACATGAGTGCAATATGACAGCTGCCCAGCAGAGGGGGAAAGGAAGGACAGGAAGAAAAGCAGGACCAAGGACATCCCTGCCACTTTGGTGCACGGGGCCAGCACAATCTTATTGCAGCTGCCAGGACCTGGCATCCAGGACAACTTTTAGATGTGTCTGAAGGACAGACGAGTCAGGAACTGCAGGATCTTTAGTGTACAGCAATCAGCCAGCCATGTGTGTGCAGTGCAGCAGACTGTACACAACATCCCATCACCAGCATTTCCCAATGGTCATAATGGAGCCATACAATTCTTGAGTGAAGGGAATGGTATTACAAAAATAAATATATTACCTGTTAATAGAAAAGGGAGGGATCCTTAAGAAAGGATATTAAAGAAACTAACAGATTTCAGCATTTAGATTCATGAACAGATCTGTGCATTTCTCTGTTCTTCAGTAACACTTCACCAGAAGCCATCAACTGAAGTGCTGGGATTGAGTTCTTGTATGCAATATTTTAAAGAAAACAGTCTATCAGCAGCTCAGTTCATTTTTAGCTTATTAAACAAGTCTTTCAGTTTTGCCATATTTTACATTAAGATGCTTGAAATCTTAGAGATATTTCCAAAAATACCACAGGTTGTTTTTATCTTGTTTTTGGCAGTTCCTGATGACAGCTTCACGTTTTGTTTTGCACCACAGACACAAAGGGAATAAATAACTTGGAGGTGGTTGATTTTAAAAGATTTTAGTTTACTTCAGGCAGTATCAACTTTGATCAGATCACTGCAAAATTGAAACTGAAAAGCAACTCCACAGTGCCCAAGCCTCTAAGGAAAAGTTCTAGACTACTTTTTTTGTAGGGCAACAGTTCACAGCAGCATTATCAAACACAAGATCTTCCATGACCGCAAGGTTTCCATTTTGTAACTTACTGTCAAACTAGAGTGCTACAAAGCAACAGGTGCTCAGGCTCAAACACTCAGATGACAAACCCCTCCTTCACTGACTAGGAGATAAAATGTAGCATGTAACCAACTTATCTGAATCCACAGCAGTGACAGGAACCTAACCCCTGTCTTCCAGATGCAGAGCTCCTATCTCTGTCATCAAAAATTGCTGCAACACAGCACAAAGCAATTAACATTTAGCTACATGAGCTATTGAAAAGCACCGTTTGAGGTCAACGAGTGCTGCTTGTTTATTAGAAACTACCATGGCATCCCAGCCTACCAAGTGAAATCTGTCCCGATTTCTGATTAACATCTGTGAGAATGAGACAGACCTAAGCTAAACAGAAAGCAATCCTTCAGACCCAATCGATGCTGGGTCTGAGCAGAAAGGCACAAAACCAGAAAAATGCACTTATAAGAAATGGCTTTCTATAGTCAGAAGAAGTTTATCCATACTCTTTGGCTTATCTATTTTGGATAATGGGATGATCATCTTTCAACATTTAAAGCAAATTAAAGAGAGCATCTCCTCAACAGCTATACAACAGGCTTTACTGGGAATAGCAATCCGTGGGTGTATAAACAGGGAAGTTAGAGGATTTAGAATATTTTTGCTGATTTTAGTTCACTAACCAAGATTTCAGCTATAAGAAAGGCTACTGCCATTCTGGCCTTGCATGACTTTATCCAAAGCAGCCTCCATTCATTACTTGCTTTCCCCTAATAGCACCTGCAGAGGCTAGAGCACAAAAAAATTTCAGCAACTTCCTTCAGCTTGGGTTCCTCTTATGCTGAAATTCTGTTCTTTTACCCTGCTATTTATTATCACCATGCTAAAACTAGGACATGTCAATCTCCTTTACTAGATTTCTTGCCATGAGCACCATTTTCAACCCAGACCCTACCCACTCTGGGTGAAGGATGAGGATAGGGGCTCTCGTTATCAAACGTAACGTAACACAGAAAGGAAGCCATGCTCACTCAGGGACCTCAGGATTTCTTTTCACTCATCCTTTGCCCAGAGCCAAGCAGGAACTCCACTTCCTGGGAGCCTTTCCATTGCTATGCAGATGACACCGATTTTTCACATTACTTGCAGCTTCAGTTTAGCAGGCACATAAAGCTGTAAGCTCAGAGCCATGAAGTCACTGCCTACAGTATTCCTGGAAGGAGAGTAATTTGCCCTTAAGGTTGCCCCTCATTATTCCTCAGTGATAAAAATATGAGCCTTTATCTGCTATCAAGCACACTTAGGAAACTTTTCAATAGTCACTGCAGGATACTGTCATTTAGCACACTTTAGAAGTCTTATTCTTGAGAAAACTGTTGTTAGGAAAGTTACTGAAAGCACTAAACGTAGACAACATGTTCTCATGAAAACGTTCCTAGCAGAACACAGCCCTCATTAGTGCTTTCATTGACCTGCTCACTGAGGCTGAGCACAACGTTACTGAAAAATGTTTTTTTGAGATGTCTCAAAGCCAAATGCCTCTGTGCCACACACATTTGGAGCAAGAAAGACTCACCAAATACTTACTTCAGAATAAGCAGCTAAATATATATTTTTTAAAGACTAATTTAATAATTAGCTAACTAGCCCATGGTACGTGAGACAGAATCAACCACTTGGAGGAGAAAAAATAATGTCATTTGATCTGCGTAATTACCTCAAATTTCATAAAGTCAGTCATGATAGAAAGCAAGTAAAAACCCAATGATGAATAAATTATTGATGCCCTACATTAGGAAAAAAAGCAAGAATAATTATGATTCACCATTTAAGCACTTTGCTTTACCTAGGCCATCAGATCCAGCACAGCTCTCAGTCTTCTGAAAGCACAGTGCTAAGGTGCCTTACAGGACACAGGTACAACTGCCTGCTCACAATGATTTGAGTATTTCATCAGCTATCTCCAGAATACATTTTTTTCCCCTGACCTTTAAAAAGGAAGAAGGAATAATGCCATATCAGCTGCTTGTATCCTTTGCATTTTACTAGTACAATGATCTAATATTTATAAAAATATGTAAGTATACACTTTAAGAACAGCAACACTGAAATACTTGATTATGACTGCAACAACCTGAGTGCAGCCTTGTCTGAAAGGCTATCAGTTGAAACACATACATCAGACTTGATGGGACTAACACTACCTAGTTGCGTGCCAACACTGCACTGAAAAGAACGCCAGGTAAGGCAGAAATGCCTCTTATATTTCCTCATTTATTCCAAATTAAATAGGAAAAGAAACCCTGCTCATACTCCAGACTTGACTTTCCCCCCTCATTTAACACCATGCAGATTTGCCCCGTAGAAGTTCAGTCCCACCACCAACCTAACTGCACCTTTGCAATTCCAGGGAAAGAATAAGTCAAATTTTAAACAAGCAAAGAGAACGATGCTCGCAGCAACTCACACAATTTATCCATCTATCCACAATGCAGCACTGCTAACCTGCACTATCATTTTGTCCTTTCTAGAAGCGAAAAAAAATAACGACTGCTACAAAGGTCAACCATCGCTGCCTGAGAAAAATGTTTACAACAGACATTTAATAAGCAATAAAAATGCACATCAGCACAGGTGAGTCATTTTAAATACTGAAAAGCCATTACGGCTTCACAGAACCCAAAATCCCAACCGAAATGTCAACAAAGCCAAAACATTTCAGTTCTGGCAGCTGATGCAACCTCCAGTAATGGTATCTTTAGGTACACGTCCACCTCCTGAATGATCCTGGCAGTCAATAAGCCTTCTGAATCCTGATTTGCCAACTCCCATCTCCTCCAAACGTGTAATACAGGCACGAGCTGGGTAAGAACCTATCAGCACAGCATATCTTGACACTTTTTAAACTTTAAACAAGAAGAATTGTTCAAAATCAACTGCATTTCTTCCTAGGCTGCCCTATTCCCTGCTTTTAATGACCTGCACTGGAAAAATTGCAGATCAGGTAAGAATTGTAACTATTACTTGCAGTAAAACTGAGCTCTTATTAATGTCACAGAGGTAAGGCACCCAGGACCTGACACCACAAACTGTGATGCTAGAGTTTCAGGAAAATCCTGCTCTAAATTTACGAAGGGAAGCCTTTAAATAATTTAAGCCGGGGTAGTTTAAATTGGTAACAGGCACAGCCCACAGCGGATCAGAGAAAAAACCCTATTTACTTTTACTTATTCTAGCTCAGTAATCCCATAACACACCTATGGGATTTTTAGTCCCGACTCATTTCCCCACCAGCACCGCCGTCCTTTCCGCGCTGCCAGGAGGAAAAACCACGGCACGGCTGAAAGACATTTCCTCTGTTTGCTTCAGCAGCACCGCAGACGGCCGTGCCGGATGGAAACGCGTTAAACCCACCAAGCTGTTCAAGCGCCCGCCCTGAGACACAAGGCACGAGGCCGGGCAGCTCCCCCAAAAGCTCCCTTTCATTCCGCAGGGCACGCAGCCCTCTGTGAGCGGAGGACAAAGCGCAGCTCCCCCCCCCCCCCCCCAATGCCGGCCCCCACACGCGGCCCGTCCCGGATCCCCCTCCCCCCCCAACGCGGCCCCTCGCCGCCCCTCACCCTCCAGCAGCCGTTGGATGATGCTGTCGATGTTCAGCTTGTCTATATCCGCCATCGCCTCTCAGCGGCCGGGCGGACCCCTCCCCGCCTCTTCCCTCCCTCCGCTGGCTGCTCGGCTGGCCCGGCTCCTCTCCTCTCGTCGGCCCGTCGTGCTTTCCCCCGTGCCCTCTACTCCTGCCCGCTCTCTTTCTTCCCTTTCGCTTTTCCCCCCGCCCCCCCCTTCGCCGCCGCTCTCAGCGCAGCCCCGGCGCGGAACAAAATGGCCGCCGTCTCCTCAGCAAGCTAGGGGGGCGGATGGATACCACGAGCGCGAGGCGGTGCGCGGACCCTTTTATAGGCGGGCGGGAAGCGCGCGGGGCGGCGAGGTGCGCACTGCGACTGTGCTCGGGATCCTTCCGCCGACGGGAGGAGAAATAGTGCCCACGAGGGGTGTGCGTTCCGCCCGCAGAACGCCGCCTCCTGGCCCCCAAACGGGGCGAACACCACCGATATCCCGCCTGCTTCCGGCAGCTCGCGCAGTGTGAGCGCTGGAGCCCGGTCCTGTGGTCCTGGCACCCTCACCCGGTGGCACTGGGTCTGCACGCCCCGTCGTGGCTCCCTCGTGCACGAGGCGAGGCGTTGCGTTGTGTTTCAAGGGAAATTCACCGCGCAGGCCGTTCAAGTTGCATCCCCTGAATGTTGTTTAATTGCTTCATTAACTCCTGCCGTAGGATCCCTCCTCCCCACGGCAGCTGCACGCACCCCACGCTGAGGCAGCTCCTTATGGTTACACAACAGCCATCGCGGCTCACTGTGCCGTAGGAGCAGAGTTCACACTGTGAGGGCGATGGCACGAAGGACGCCCAGCCTCCGTGCAAGGAAACGGGGCTGTGCTCAAGTGCTGCCCCAAACTGCAAAACCTTTTCTGAGAAACCTTCCCCTCCTTGTTTCCCGTGCTGAAATTGCCTTTGTCCTCAGCTGCTGGTAGCCCTGAGCAGATCTGTGCACTTTGGTGGGAGCTGAGAGCCTTCAGATCCATGAACGCTTTGGGAAATGGGGCAGAAGCAGAGGGCTCAGTGCCACCAGAAGACGTGCATAGGAACTGAGGCGAAACGCCAGCCTTCCAAAAGCGAGGGCCCAGCCCTTTGGGTGAGTCTGGACTCAGAGCGCACCTGGTACAACGAACCCAATCAATCACGGCCCCAAGCACCGCCAGCTCGCATCAAACCAGGCACAGCCGAGGGACAGGAGGGAAGTGACAGCTGCAGGCGAAGTGCCACGGCCCAGTCATCGCCTCCATCACCAGGGCACCTCTGTGGGGTCCTGCTCAGAGGATGCCGTGCTTTTTTGAGTTTATGTCCTTGCAATGCCAACACAAAAAAATAAGGGCCCTTATTTAACAGCAGTAAACTCCGTGGTGAGGCAGAGACGTTCAGATGCCACTGCAGCTTTGTATTAAGCTGTTTTCTCCGTGCTGGATAGAACCAGCCTCGCCCCACAGTTCTCTGATTAGAAAAGGGACGCAGCCAAGGTGTTATAAATATCCTGGAACTATTTTATCCTCCAGTGTTGCTCACAACAATGATTTATTTCCAGAGGGGGAACAATCAGGAAAATGCCTTTGTCCTTAAATTCTGCACACAGTCTTGAAGCATTCCCTAATTCTGAAGCTTACACTCTTTATATTCCCACTCTCTGTGTGCTTGTCTGCAATTTGTGTTCCAGTTTGCTAAATACATGATGATGTACAATTTATCTTGCTCGCAGCTCTGAGATCTTTGTGTCCTTTCCTCCCTCCCCCCCAAAAATTCCACAAATAAATCATAGCTTGGGGTGGCATTCCCTGGGAACCTCTGTAAAATATCTTTCCCTTCTGATTTATCCTCACTATCTCTTGGTTTATAGTACAGTTGCTCATAATCTGGCCACGTATAAAAATGTAGATATTATATATGTAATGCCCACCTACATTCAGTAGCGAAATAAAGAACATTTCATTGATCTGTACATGCATATACATAATATCAAAACCAAACATATACTACATGTATAATGCATGTACATACCCTGTATATACACACATACACATGTATGTATATGCAGCTAATGACAAAAAGCTCCTTATTTTATTCCTGTATGTAGGTGGATCCTAAGAAATGCGAGTCGCCCACACTTCCCTTTGCCTTGGATTACATATTTCCTAGGTCTGTGCAACTCAGTGTGTCTGTGTACATTTCAAACAAAGACCTACACGGACTCTTCAACACTGGGAAAACAAAGATGGTGTGATGTGAAGGTCAAATGTTGTTTTTCCTAACTAGACGCTCAATGTTTTCCTAACTTCTGCTGCGTGTTTCCGAATATCAGCCTGCTACAATCCAGATCAACTTTTGATGTCTGCTTTTTGCCTCTGGTGTTCAAACTATTCTGCTGACCCCCACATTTCAGGCGTTGCAGAGTTTGTGGGTTGCAACAGTCATTTGTCAGACAGAAAAGCAGGTGGACAAAGCCACAAGGCTGATCTGGAGACGTAGGGGTAGACATCCTGTTTGGAGGGAGGTGATGACGCAGAGTCAGGTGTTTTCTTAGTGTCATGTTTTATTTACAAAACGTGCAATGTGAGGATCAGCAAAACATACACACTGCAGGTAGGCAGCTCCCTGGAGCTCGGGGCTTTCTGCACAGCATGGGCTTTTCTCAGCAGGGGCTCTGCCGCATGCAGAAACCCAAAGAAGCCTCATCCCTGGACAAGAGCAGTCAGATGCCTTCAGAGGGCTCTCTGCACTCCCCATCACTGCTGCGTGGGAGCCTTGGTCCCCACTGAGCTGAGCGGTTCCATCTCAGCAGCTGCCTTCTGTCTGAAACCTCCCACCAAAGGAAACTGCTGGCAATGATGACAAGTCCATTGCAAGTTTGTTAAAACCACACTTCTGATAAAAAAATGTTAAAAGATTCTGCTCAGAGAATCTCGAGACAGTCTATTTTGACATGAGAGAAATGTAATTTGCCATTCCTCCCCTCTGACTTTTTTTTTTTTTTTTTTGGTCAAAGTTGACATGCTTCATGGGTTTCTGCTGAAAGGTATTGTTGCATGGAAAAATCTACACTTGGTAAGTTTTGGAAGGTTCACACTGCCAAAAATAGTGCCAATAAAAACATCCTAAGTCACTTTGTTCTGGTGTTGCAGTGACCGCAGTAAGACTTTCCCTGCTATAGCTATTTGGATTATGAAAACACAGCAGCTTCCACCTTATCAGTGAATTTCATATATGAATCCAATCTTTAAAGCCAGATCAGGAACCAGAGCCATTTGGAGACACTGCTGATCGGTGCATCCCTCCCCTGTTGAGCATCAGCGTGGTGGAGATTTGCTTCTTTACTTAGAAAAAGGGAAAAAATGGGGCTAATGTAGACTTTGTCCTACTTTTAGAGGAGAGCAGGCACAGCAGATCAATTGACATGGCTTTGGCAAGAAGCAGCCCCGTTTGTTCTCTTTGGTCAGGAATCTCCATGCTCCGCCAAAGCCTGAGTTTTGTAACCGGATTGAAATCTTTCAGCAAGGCTCAGCTGAGCCATTCTTGGAGGGGAAAGGGAAAAATGTATGTAGTGCTCAGCAATGTTCTTTTCAGCCCTTCTTCAGATGTTTCATGGGGTGAACACCACATGCAAGGGCAAAGGTGGTGGAACTGTGTATAGCTCTCCTGGTGCGGAGCAGATCTTGCAGAGTGGGGGCAGACAGCTGCATCTCAGAGGGGCTAAGAGAGACAGCTTGTGTACCTTCAGCTGCATGGGGCTTAAAGAAAGTGCTGCAAGAAGCTGGGCTGGGAGCTGGCTGCTTTCTTCATGTTCTCTGGTTTTACCCTTGCAGAACTCTGCTTCATGGATGAGCTGCTTCTCTAAATAAAACCAACGAGAAAGGAGGGCCAGGAGTACTGCCAGGGGAGCTGGAAAGTGAAAATGAGATGAAATCTGCTGATCTGCTCCTGGTCAAACAGCGACTGTGCCTCCACAGACCCTGGTGGGAAATGCATCATCGAGCATGCAATGCAGGAGCAAGGGAGAGATGTCTTCTGCTCCATGAATACCCTGGATCCCATGGGGGTTTTGAAATGTGGATGAAATATGTGGGCTATCTGAGGTGCAGGTGCTTGCAGGCATGTGCACCAAAGTGTCCCCATGCTTGAGACAAAGGACAAGCATCCAGAAGGCAATGATTCCTCTGCTCCACTTTTTGTTCCCCTTGTTGACCTGAAAATCCTGAGCAACCCCACTGCCTGCTGTCCAGCACCTGGATTTTCTGCTTACATACATTATCTGAAAAGTGATCTGATGTGGAGGTAGCTGCCACGTGTGCTTATGTATTTGTTTCTGTTCTCACCTCCTTCTTCCTGCTCGCTGTGTGCAAGACTGGCAGATTTTCAGGAGCTGGGCTGCTGTTACGTAAAGTTGTGCTAAAATCTGTACAAAAGGATTTGGAAGAAAGTGTGGCTGAAGCTAGCTTTTCATCCCTGGATGCCCTTCAGATCTGTCCACATGACTTGGACTTCCCAGGGCATCCACTGCTGCCAGCATGCCTTGGGAGCAGGTGGAAGGAGGGACACATTCTCGGCTGTGACATTCAATGGGTCAACTGCTAGGGTCCCTGCACAGCATCTCCCAGGTTCCCGAGAGTGTGGCTGGAGCTCAAGCCTGGATAATTAATGGTGATTATCCGTCTGAGAGAGTAGGCATATGACTGAGTTCATTCATTTGAAATCCTCAGCCTGAGCTGTGCTGAACCACAGTCTCGTTGCACCCTTGTAGCAGGTGGCCCTGAGTGGCCCCGGATGACATGAGGGACACCAGGGACCTCCACAGCATAGGCACCCTGAGCTGAACAGAGCCCAGGCACTCTTTGGTGAGGGGCTGTGGGCTCAGCACAGCAGGAAGGAGAAGCCCTTGCAGACAGCAGGATGGTAAATGCTTCTATACAGATGTAGGCCATGGAGCAACGACACCCAAATCAGAAAAATTAATCTGCAGAGTAAGAGGAGCCTTGGAAATTTGCCACTGTTGTTCCAGTCTCTGCTCTTCAGGAGCTCAATTTTCCCCTTCTTTCCCTCCATGTTTTATATTCTGTGTGGTTTTTCCTTTTAAAAGCAGATGCCTTGTTTGCAATGAGAGCACACTGCATGTTTGCAGAGTAGGGAAAACTCAGATCTGTGCCTATGAGCAGTGTGGAGCTGCAATGGGGTGAGGCTGAAGGGCTGACAGTCAGCTCTTGCTCCACAACAAGGGGCTGAGGGCACAGGCAGTCTTTTCTTCCTTTGGAAAACAAGAAAAAATAATACAGGAAA